GTGCTCAGGCATCCAACTGTATGATTTATTTTATACTTTTTGCTTTTAAGATCATAAAATATTCATATTCATATTCTTCTTTTTTTACATTCATATTCATTTAATCATTTGCAAACATGGGTACATAATATATAGGTGTTAACAAAATTTACAGTTTCTCCATATTATGTCTTCACTTGGCAAAAGAGACTACTGTGATGTAAAGTTTCTGTTTTACTTTAGTTCAATATTTTGTTGCAATTTAATATTCTACAGATAGTTGTCTGAGATAATATTTAAATTGATGCATTGTGATAGCAGTAGTCTAATGTAGAGACAAAACCAGTTTCCTATTGTCCTGATCCGTCCACATTATCTTATCATAAATAGAGGTACAAAAGCAATCAGTTTCATTTATCTAGATTGCACTGTAAAGTCATTGCGTGCGTCCATATAATTTTGTTCCGTTACTATATTATCTGGCAGTTAAATATGAATGCAGTTATTCTGCACTTCTCTTACAAAAGGATATGAATGGCAGAGAGCCAAGTTTAAAGCATTATATGGTAAAAATAACAATGATTGAATATGAGAGCGTGATTCATTGGTGTTGCAGTCATATCACATGACTTAGCTAGGCTTCCTGGCTTTTATATTGATTGGAAAGACAGACTAACTCTTAATGGTTTAGACTAGACTTGGACTCTTGTATTATGTTTGAGACGAACGTGACGTCATTGCTTCGTCTTAGTCTGGGTGGCGACAAGTTTGCAGTTACAAGTTTATTGCTCCTGCTGCGAATTTATATTGCAATTGCATCAGAATTGCCACTTTTTACTTCATCAAAATTAAACTATAGGTACTTCTTTTGTAGTCGTTTTGGTTACTTAAATATATTAGATACATCTTCATTAAATCCATATTAAAATGTCTTCTTTATACTTTTATTCCATAATGTGATTAGCTGTTAGTTTTTATACTATAAGTAGTTTGTTCTGAGGAGCGGATATTGGAAAATGGGGTAGCGCAGGAAATTCGTATATCGATCGCTATTCCCTGGCACTTCACTTGATTGTGTATTGTCAGCTTAATGAAGATTTTATATTTACTTATATGTATGCAATATTGATTTATAGGAATTTGAACTCTAGTGGTTTGTGAGAAGGATTTAAGTAGTTTGTGTTGAACTGGGTCTTTTTGTATTCTTTTCTTGAATAGGGATATTAGTAAAAACTAAGCAAGTTTAAGTATCTATATCTAAAAATAGTTGTCATTAGTTTGCTTAATTTGAGAGCGCTGAACAGAAAAAAATATATTTGAAATGAAAATGAGTTATTACCTATATTATATATATTTTTTCAAATATCAAGTACTTGATGGAGTATTACCAAGACTGTCATTTACGGAGACCTTGTTTAATAGTACTTAACCAGACAGTCAGGCATTTTAAGTAGGCGTTTCAAGTTAATCGGTTAGCAAAAGCGTTCACAGTTTTTAAGTACGACCCTTAAGTTCTTTGAAAAGATAAAGATAACTTTTTGTACTCTATGTGAAAGAAATTTTATCAGAAACATGTCAATACTTTTTGTTGTTGAAACACTTAAGTAGATAGTTATTGTATTTGAAGACGTGGGTACGTAGAACTAGAAATATTATCGTGTTGACAGGCACTAACAAAACTGTTTTTAAGGGTCCCTCCCTCAATCATCGAAATACTTCTCACTAAAAACTACCCCGTTCCTACTCCCTTCGAGCCGGAGCCCCGGCAACCCGTTAAGTCCTCCGCGGCTAACAAAAATGTTTGCAGCTCTGTCTACAAAAAAATGTAGTGATAAAGATTGTGCAATTAAAACATCTTAAACCTTACTTTACCTTCCTCAGAATGTTTGGAGCTATATAATTATTTTAGCAAAGACTTTTAAACAGACTGTCACGAGCATATTTCGTATTAAAAATGCTGACAGCACAAATTAGCTTAATTAGGTAAGGGACAATTTACTTAGTTGCCGGTCAAAGTCCAATTATGAATGTTGGTAAAAATATTATATGCAGCGTTCATTAGGAACATTACAGTTTCAAAATATCAATAATGTAATCTGTTTTGGTATATTTGAGAAAAAATATGTAAAATGGACGACATCAGACTTTTCTGGCAACATGTTTTACCAAGATATACTTAAGCAATTTAAATAGTAAGATCAAATTCCTATGTTTTAAGAATAGTTTTAAGTAAAGACTTCGTTAAACTATAAAATTGGCATTTTATTTTGTTAATATTTGCATGAAAATGAACTTCATACACTGATCGATTAGACACGGGCTCGCAATGAAAAGATGTCCTACGCTAGATGATCGATGCACCACTCCTATTAGGTTAGTAATATAGTAGAGTGGGTCTAGATTACAAAGAATTATATGAAAAGGCTGAGTGCTGACGGCAGAGTATAGCATACATTTATTTTGTCTTCACCCTAATTCTTGGATTCGACTAAAGTAGTATACATATCAAGTATTGATCAGTAGCAGAATCTAATAAATCTATTTATATTAAAGTGCGATAATTAATTTCAGCACTAATATACCTACTGCTGGGCGAGGTGTGAAAGCCACTAATTCTGTCATATCCGCAGCCACTCGGATATTTCGTAGTATAATGGCTATTTTCAAAATAAACTCAAGTTCAGTAAAGGCATATTGACGCATTCGTACGTAGATATTTACATAACACTATATCCTTTATGCATCTAGTGTACATAAACGTGTGGGTTCAAGAATTACTTCACATATTTGCATTTTAATGGGACGATGGTCCAAGAGTCATGATTGTAAATAGGTAATCTTTAGTCTTGATTTGGAAAGGTATTTGCTGTTATTTTCTGTCTGAGATTTAATATAAATAGTTTTTAACTAACACATTGCTTAATTGTCTTATACATAGTATATTATTAGTAGTATGTAATCGATAGCTTAAGTATGAATGGTGAAACAAAGCTTTAATGAATTTTGCACATTACAATTTAATATATGTTCGTAAAAGTGCCATATTTATGGCTACTAAATGTGACCGTAAATACTGCAGCGTGACTGAAACATTTAGAAATATAATAGATTCAAAATGAGTACTTGAGACTGACAAAAAATGGCAGACTGGCGTATATCAATGAAATATTTGTGTAACTATCAGTGCCAGTACAAATTGAGTGTAAAGGTCATTGGCACGCAGTGTACAAATATTTGAACTCCTACACAACAAACACTTCCTTTCCTTCTTAGGGCTACTTGAGTAGTCATAAAGTATGAGTATGACAGTTCTCTGGAACACATATCGCCACTCTACTCTTCACGTGGGTGTCGTTAGAGCTGACAATGGGGTATATAGTACATTTAATAGAAACCTATTTCTGTTATTTGATAAACCTGAATCTTTGTACCTACGATATCCAACCTGCTTGCTATTTGCTAACCGTGAAGATTATAGCAAGCCCTTCTTATACAAAGAAGGCATATAGTTCAGTAGGGGGCTGTTGTTATTTAAGATGCAGCCAATTTAATCAGAAGGTTATTAGTACGCGCAATACCACTGTGTTTGATTTTTTTTAATTTAATCATATCTACATATTTTCTACCTTAGAGTAGAATTCTGACCTTAAAAATAATCTTTGAACAAAGAGTGTACCAATGACAGATGATCATAATCATAATGCACCAAAGGCAGGTACGGTAACATTCCGTTGCCGATCAAAAATAGATCTTGTCGGTCGGTCAATAAGTGCGTTCATTGATTCAATTGTTTCCTTCCGTTCACCCTGGCGTATGACATCTTATTTTTTTTCTTTGATCTTTCTTTATTTCGATGTCATGTCGTAAGTTGACCATTTAAAATCTCCCCTTTTGAACTTTTGCTTTTCTTTTTTGTTATTAGATTGTTACTTGTGGTTTTTCTGTCAATTAGTTACATTACATTCGTTTGTCTTTGTTGGTGGTCTTATTTAGCGGTCGCTGGGTAAGAGTCGTGTTTTGTTTTAAGCCTTGGTAATAAAAATAACATTTTGCAAATATTTAACTATTTCAATAGTAAAAAATCAATTCAATGCCAGATAAATTTTAACCGTTAAAGTTATTCACTTTCAATATTTGACAATTCTTCCTAAACTAAAAACTGTCAAAAGACAATTTTATTCTACAGTAAAGAATTAACTGATGATCGTAAAATTTGCCCTAAGTATGTAAAATGTAATAATGCAATCAGTTAAATACTTATTAATAACATTTCATTTAATACCTTTCATTTATTATCAAATGCCTGGTAAATGGATTATATCTAAGTATATAAGTAAGTATTTAACAGAATATTGCATCATAAAAACTTGTTGAGTCATAAAAACGAGTTTTTATTTCAATTTTATATTGCAAGAAACGAGAAATTGTATAGAAATTACACGTTCTATAAATATTTTTTACGAGCAAAACAAATAAACGAAACTAGCTTTTATGACAGAAATTCTATATTGTAGGTAATGTGCAAATATCGAGATTTTAAATATCGTTTTTAATTTAAGCTGATAATCAAATTAAAGAAGGTAACTTTGACTGGCTTCTTAATTTTCCTCGGTATTAAATACACGTTCGTTCTCAATTAGGGTCGAAGTATGATAAGGATTAGAGTATGCAAATTTAGTTTTGATGGATAGATAAAGGTTACAGAACTCAAGTCCAGAATTTTTAATGAGAACCTTGACGAATCAATTATCGGATTGGAATAATAAGTTGGTATATCTTTACGACGAGTCAATTAAATTAAAGTCAAGTATTATCCAAAAGATTAAGTTTGTCTAGGTGCTCTACACCCATTTATAACTATAAAATTATATTACTTACCTAAGTAAGATTTTGGAATACTTATTTAACAGCGGGTACTATAAGATATTTATTTTTTTGATGATATTTCTTGGTACCTTTGTCCATGTGTGACCGGTTTCGCCCTAATTTATTCATAAAAATAATAAATATATGACATTTACCTTACGTTCCCTGCACCATTCACCGCCGCACCTGATGCATTCGTCGCAAGTTAAACTATTTTCATTCTTCGTACAAATATTTCCGAAAACATTTTGTACAAAAACGAGCATAAACACCATAAAACACACACTCGCCATGGTTCTCATTATTAAAATAAAACTGGCTTACAAATAAATAGAAAATTACTAAAATTAATAAAAATGGCTCCTTTTTATTTTTTTTATTCGAAGTTAAAGACGCGGTGTTGCGTTCGAAATCCGAAATGCGCGCGTTCGGTCGCACGAATGGGCACAGACTGTACGAACTATTGTCAGAGAGTTCATGCCGCGACCGAGATGAATCATCGCGACGTCGCCGGCAAGCAAGGAAAATTCACGGAAATTACTCTTTACGTTTTGGAATCGAGTTAATACGAAATAAAAAGCATAATTCTTATACTTGCGTCACAGATAGAGCCTCAATTATTAATTTGCGAGCAGGTTTAGCGGGTATTAATGAAACTAGAACTAAATCGCCTGTTGATAAGAATACAATTAAGACAATATAATAAAGTTTTTTTTTGGAATTATCAATGGTGAAAGGATTTACTTTTTTAAAATAAGTACTGTCAAATCTTTCGGATAGAGTATGTACTCTACCCCAATTATGGGGATATTTGCTGAAATACATTTTAATTATTTTTAGGTGTAAAATAATTTTGTACTGCACTACCCAAAGATGGTACAATTGTATAAAACATAAATAAATAATTACTTTTTTTTTATTGATAAAATTATAAATGTTTGTATTTATACTATTAGGTGCAAAAAAATGTATTTCCTTTTTTAAAAAAAACATGTTGCTAGTTAGACATCAGGGTACAGCCGTTAAGGTACTTGTGATTAGTACGGTAGCTAAATTGAGTGGGTATATCATTCTTATCTAATAAATAAAATAAATAAGCGTTACAAAAAAAAAATTTGTTACGCTGCTGCGCTGCAATACAGATACCTACAGAACAAATGGAGTATAGACAGAGTGATGTTTTCAATTTTTTATTAACGTTGTAAACAAAGAAAAAAAAATTATTAATATAATTTAAAAAAATAACAAAAGAGAGTCAAATTTTCTACGACAGTGGGGTTGAGGAATGCTTCCTCTACGGACTCAAAGAATCTCTGTAGCGATTAAACGCCTGGATATGCAGCAACTGACGTGGCGGAGGGGGTTCCACCAAGCAGGGCTAACATTATTGACAGGATAAACCTGGACTCATCGTCTTCCGACAACGGATTATTCACATATCTGCCGCCGTGGCTCAGCAGGATACGCTCATAAGGACCTCCCTGGGCGGGGTGGATGTAGGGTAGCTCCACCCCGGGTTTACTACTTCACTGCGTAGAAACGGACCCCATGACCTATATTGACGGCTTTAAACATGTACAAATCACGTAACACATCTCGATAGTGTGATTCAGGATTTTTCTGTTTTTTACGCTTATTTCTGCAAGACAAGAAAATTTTTGTGTGATATTGTTATTTAATGTTATAACTAACTTTAAAATCGCAAAATTTTTCATAATTTAAAGACTGTGTGTGTTATTGGCAACCGAATAAGGAAATATTTGTTATTGTTTGGGGACAGCGCCATCTAGTCACGGAATGTGTTACTTATTCCCTTTGTTGGAACTGGTTTATTTCCAATAAATATGTTATTGTGCGGGAATAATTTAGAAAATTTAAAGCTTTGGTGTCGATTAAAATTCTGTAATAGATGCAATGTCAATTCTTAATTAACCATTAATATTAGCGAGTTGTGAAAAATTTACTTAATTGTGAATACTAAGAACACATTGTATTAATTGAAAAGAAAGCAAAACAGTTAAATTATCACAATTTCACGTTTTAATTTATATTATCATCTTTACTCAAAATGTCTCTAAAATAAAATCTTAGCAACAAATGTGTTTAGACAATTCATTGCTACAATTATATGAACAGGCGCCCCAGAAAAATGTTATCATCTTAGTAAATTACATGTAATCCATTATCCAAATGTGTCAATATTAATTACGGTTTTTTGGATTTTTCAAAAAGTATTTTTTTTTTTATTTTACTTATATCAGCAGTATAAAAGTAGCAGATCGAACTGCTCTATGACACAGAATGGCTACAAAAATATCACATGCATCATGCAAAAAGTGCAATCGTAAGCATAAAATAAAAAAATTAACAGATTTTAAAACTTAAATGCCTAGTGATTGAGGTCATCACCTTATAAACAATATATTTGAATGGGAGACAACCAGAAAAATGTTTGAAAGTTAGGACTATACTGTTCATTTGTCTATTGTGTTATTAGTCGATAAAAGTTGGTTCATACTTTTTAATTTTTTTTCTTTCGGTTTTTTTCTTCTACGAATAAGTTTCTGTCTTTTTGCTAGCGGTATACTGCCTATTAATGAGATAGAGACAACTTTACATTAAACTTTAAAAAAATAATAATATGTGACCATGTAGTTATCAAAATCTCCCCATTCTATCCATCTAACTAAATATCGAAAAAATCGCTAGTTATAAGTTACTTATAATTTTACATTTAGTAAAAACTAAAACAAAACAAAAAAATAAGATAAATAAAAAACTATTTCAAAAATACCCATTTAAATAGGGATATTTCATAGCATAACATGACGTCTTTTATCCCTGAACGGGTAGGCAGAGGTGCACATTACGGCACTTAATGCCACTGTACAATGTAACGCCCAGTTTTCACTACTTATGTTATAAGTCCTATGTAATAGGGGGTGAGCCTATTACCATATACCTACCGGGTACAATTCCAAACTCCGTGCTACTACTGAGATTTTTTTTTTAAACTCAGTATAGATATTTTTTAACATTTTAATACACCCGTACACAATATTAGTAAACTTTAATAGAAAAACCCAAAACTATCTTACTAGCGTATTCCGTACTTACTCAACCATTTGCCAAACGAAGTCAGGGAAGAGAAAAATAAAAATAAATTTAAGACTAAATTAAAAAAATATCTGTTTAGCACACTACCATAGCTATATGTATTTAGAATTAATCATTAACAACACTACCATAACCATATGTATTTAAAATTAATCATAACCATTATCATAGTAAACTACTAATACCTACTAAATAGTAATTTAAATATAGAAGATCCAACAGTCAAACTATTTATATATAGTTTTATTGGACATGGCGTTAGATTATAAGGCATACCATGTACCTTTATTATTAATAAATAAAATAAAAATAAATCTGAGACTAAAATAAAACTTCACTAATAACCTTACCCGTTCTCATCTTAAGTCCAATCTTAAAATTGTGCCTCATAATACCGACTTCTTCTCCTATTCCTTCACCGTTTATGCTGTGAGACTGTGGAATTCTCTGCCGCCTAACATTCGAGACGCTAAATCTATCGCTCTCTTTAAAAAACTAATTAAGGACCATTACCTTTCTTCATGAGTACTGATACGTTTTTTTTTTCTATGTGTGTATTTTATTTATTGTTATTATTATATATTAAGTATTTATATTTATACTATATTTATTTATTCTATATTTATTTAGTTATTATTTAGCTTTAGTTTTTTTATACATATTTCTTATTTTTCTATTACACGCTGTGTCTTTTGTTTTAATTAGATTTCCTGTCTCAGGTCTACTGGAAGAAATTCCAACAGGAATAAGTAGCACCTTTGTACTCTTATTTTATATATGTGTTATCCTCTGTGCTGTCTGTGTGTACATAAATTATTAAATTAAATTAATTTTCTATTCCTTAAAAGGCCTGAGCATATAGTCAAGTCACCAGTTAGTCCTGTAACTTAACACTGGCAAATTAAACTCTATTTCCATTACCACAAGACACAAAATAAAGTGACATTTACACCTCTATTAAAATTTAAGACACACAAAAGTTTCATGCATGCTAAAATAAACTTTATTTTTATAACAACAAAACACAATATTATTTCCACCACTATTTACGATCGATAGATTTTTTCCTGAAAGCCGGATTATTGAACGTTGTAGTTGGTGATTCGTACAAGGGATTGCTGCTTGGTCCAGAGGCGTCTTGCTTGTTTTGTTGCATGAATTGGAGATATTCGTGACGATCTTTCGCATCAGTCAGTAGCTTCCAGGCGACTAGAGTACCAATCCCCACTATCAAAAGCGTCAAGAGAAAGAGGCCACCAAACACTGAAAAATAAAGTACATATTTGTATGGGATAAGCCGGTAAACGTATAGATGGATCACCTGATGGTAAGCTATCGGCGTCGCCCATGGACACTCGGAACACCGGAGGCGTTACAAGTGCATTACCGGCCTTTTGGGGATTTGGAATTTGTGGATTGTTGGGGATTCAGGTATTGGAGAAAATGGGCCACATAGTATCATCTATATAATTTTAAATTCTCTTAAGACTGGGTTAAGGGGAACTATGTGACACCCACTTGTTGCAATTTATATTATGGGTACGTACCTACGTGTAATAGAAAGATATCCTTTGTTTACTTTACTGTTACTTGTTATACAAAGAGTTTAATTTTAGACTCTGTGTATATGTAGTATATGAAACCTTCCCCTTAGAATCAAACCCCTGGCTTGTGAAACCAATGAAGTAGTTCCAGAATAAACCACAATCCAAGAGTCCACCACGATATTTATGATGTTAATAACAATTGAACAAAATATCGTGAAAGTAACTTTGATTTTGGATAAAATTTACTTACCAAAAACTTGACAACGCAGTTGTAACTCTTTAGGTTGGAATCTGCGTTAAGCAGCCGCTCAGAACAAAGTCAAGAATACTTATACTTACTAAAATAATTGGGAGCACAGTCCTTATTCCTGGCAATGATAACTTCTATACTATAATCGGTATCATTGTACCGATAGTAGAAACTAGTATTGCAATTATCTTCAACTTTAACATTTTCGCATAAGTTCCAAAATTCCATGAAATCAGTGTCATTGCTCAGTTTGTCAACTACAGTGATTTTAATGCGGTCATTAGTGCAATCATCCTTGCCGATTCTGCGATCTTTGGCACAGTTGGCCAGCTTCCTACATTGCAGGTCATGGCAATCAGAACAGGATGAAACTTTGCAATATGGGTCCTGGCTATAACGGGCATCCCATTCAGCAATTTGAGAGCATTGACAAGCACCACATACACATTCTCCGCGGTTGTTGCAAATCTGGAAATTATTAAAAAGTCATTTTTTATTAACTTTCGTGAGCCTTTCGTTTGCAGCCGCGCGACAGGCGTCGTGTGTCGCGGTATACTCATGAATATAGACCCCTAGTATAGCTTGAAACTTGTAGAGTTTCTCGTTAAATAGTTACGTGAGTAATCCGAAAAATATCATAATTTAGTCACAATTATGTTTTTCGGATTCTTTGTATCCCTAACTAGTTGACCCGGCAAACTTCGTACCGCCTAAAATTTTTCTCACCTTTTAAACCTTCCTATGAACATTTTAAGACTAAAATTAGCCAAATCGGTTCAGCCGTTATGGAGTTTTAGCGAAACTAACGAATGGCAATTAATTATCTCTATAATACTTCGCCCGACACGTGACCTCATCGTCAGGTAGAGTCATTTTTGAACATTCGCTGTAAGGCGTATTCTAATACTTCATCATCATAAGCATCATCTTCAGAACCACTAGGTCTATTGTTCAACATAGGCGCCTCCAAATGAACTTCAGATAGGTCGGTTGTAGGACTTTTTGCATTTTGTGAAATACTACAATGAAGGTAGCCGAAACCTACCGACAGGTTTGCTTATCCACCCCTAGACCTGCTACTTTTATCTCTGCTCTACTTAAAGGTTAACTGGGAGACAATGCATTAAATCCGCCAGTACACATTTGTTGTATTAAGTTGAAAAAAATAAATAAATAGATGCTCGTGTCTCATAAAGGGTTTCATAAAAATATACTCACACTTCCATCGTTTCCCGTACAATACACGTCTGAGTCGTAACAGTCGCAAGCGTCACCAGACCACTCCGGCGCACACCTGCACTTCCCACAGTTGCATTTCCCATGCAATTTACCATTGCAAACTTCTCCACTCTTTGCACTACGCGGACAGCTGTCCACGTTGCATTCACAAAATTCACCTTCGTACCTGGGTAATAAGACTCAGTTTTATTCTACATAATTGTTTATGAAGGGTGTGTCTAAAGTGTTATTATTACTGGAATAGGAGCACGTACATTTTTTTTAAATCCTTTATTACATAATAATATTAAGATTTCGTCCAGTGTCGTAGATGCATTTTTAAACAGACATTAGTATACTAATCACATTGTACATTCAGTCAAAAAAGTGCCTAATGATGTCCCAGATTAAAAACAATAGTTTGTGAATCATACAAATCCTTGTAGATATTTGACGAGATATGATGACTCGTTAAGTAGCAGACATCCAAATACTTTTTTTGAGGGGGCAAATCATCCTATGACTTCTCCCGCCCGGGTGAGGTGGGAGGGAGTGTCAGACTCTTACTGACTAAAAACCACACCGTTCCTACTCCTGCACTTCGAGCCGGAGCCCCGGCAACCCGCTAAGTCTTCCGCGGCTCCGTATCGGCATCAGCCCTGTTGAGCCCCATCTGTGGTGGTCTAATACCTCCTTGAGGCCCGCTTGGAACGCGACGCGCCTTACGCTCGGGCCTGGTTCTGGTCGGGCGGCGAGTCACCCGTGCTCGCCGTCCGCAGGCCCGTGCTTACGGTGGCCGGAGATCGTCTCGCGATCCCCGACGACGCGCGACGGCCGGGGCGTGAGGAGGTTTGTTCCCTCACGCGCTCCGCCTCCTCCTAGATACCCAACCACTGCTACTATCATGCAATCAAGGGGTGTTTAAAGTGATTTATTGATTTGGGGAAACGATTGACTGATCCAAGTATCGTGTACAATGGTTATTCTCACTTGTTCAAATGCTCTTAAAGATTAAACTTACCTCTGGTTCTGGTTAAAAATGTAATTGATTGTAAGTACCTTGTCAAACATTCACAGGCGCCACAGTTGCAAATGCCGTGTCTGCTGCAAATATCCTGACTGCCTGGAGCAATGCAGGTAGAATTGTCATTGAAATTATTTCTCTTACTTTTTACACAAGCACATCTTTCACCGTATCTGAGAATAAATATAAAAAATATATTTTCACTATAAATTTCAGTTGTTTTTAGCTAGGCTTTAAATGAACAGTTTGTTGGTAACATTAGCCAATTAAATGATACACATGGTCACACAAATATACCTTTTATCGCTGCAATGGCATATTCCGCAATACCGGGCTTCTCCGTGGCAATAAGCAGCACTAGCTTCTACATTCTTTTCGCACTCACAATTCTTAATAGCCTCAATGTCAAGAGTAAGTTTCTCACCGATACCTTCAACTATGATGTCCACGCTTACGTCCTCAGTACCATCATACCGTACTGTTCCAACTAAATGAGTTTCTTTACCAATTTCTACGTCACATTCTTTGACATTAAGGTTTGTAGTACAGTCTGGATCGAAAGAAATACTTAAATCCTTCTTTCGTCCGGACTTTACTTTCGTTTTGAGTTTAATTTTTTTGGATATTTTCTGAAAATTAAACACAATCAACAATTTATGTACAAGTGTCGATGCAAAGGCTGTGTTTAGACCCAGAAGATGTTGATACACTTACCGTGTAAATGTCTTTTAAAACATGCACTATCATTTCATCGTTAGATCCTTTGTCAACACGGTTAAATTCCGTAAGTCTTGATCCACTTATAGCTTTACTGAGTCCGTGGTAGACATCTTTAACACCAGAATCTACTACGAAAATGACAGTAATATCACTATCGGTTACCAACTTGTTTATCATCCCCACAGACGGATAATCCATTTCCAGTTCTTTGGTATAGGTCCCATTTTTAGTATAACATTTACCATCATATGGTTGAAATAAACCTGCAGTTTTTCCATCTCCAGCCGTATGGTAATATCCATCAGTCAAGAACACGACTATTTTTCTTGATTCGTTTCTCCATCCAATGACTTTCGTGCAGGTAAGTACTTGAGCAAGAGCATCAAGACCTCCTTCCTGAGGATCCCGATTAAGCCCACTAGGAGTTGTAGACACTACATCTTTGAATTTATTGAAATCATCAGCTAATGTCATTCTGTGTCGAAATGAGTACGTTAATTTTGTGTCGAGAGTGCTAAGGGAAAAATAATTGATTAACAGGTAAACAAGAAAAAATAACGTTGTTATTCGATGAATCGAAATAGTGTTCCAGATTTTAAACATAAGTGATGTGATGGGTGGAATGTCTGTCAATACAGGTAGTAAAATAATAACTTACTTATTCGTAAAAGGCAATACTCGTTTGTCTATAAAAGTACCAAATCCCAAATGAACATTCTCCGTCATTTCTTTAATAGACAAATATATTTTTTCACTGTGCTTAGCAGTCATGTCTCTGATATTAGCCATAGTTGTTGATGCATCTAAAAGAAAATACAAGTCTACTGGAAAATCTTTAGCTCCCTGGAAGGAAAAATTAAAAGATTCAGGAATTCCTGCTCGAAGATTCAATTTGTAACGCTGTGGTTTAATTTGGATGACGTTGTCTGAACTGGAACTAAATTCTTTGGTTTCCGATGCGTAAGCTACGTTTGTTGGATTCATTAGCGATTCTGGACACCAGTCGATGGTATAAGAATTATTAGGCATGCATCTTCTTGCACCATTGAAGTTGTTCTGAAAATGTTATACGAACAAGTTAAAAAGTGGTTCTTTTATCGATTGCTTTACAACTGAAGTTCTATAGTTATGATATAACTTTGGAAAGTTTGTTGATAGTTCGCTAAAGTTAACACAAAATTTTTTGTTGTTTACAGTTTACCTAAATACGTGGATGGTAAAATAAATGTGCTGGGCAGCAAAATCATCAGACACTGCCAAACGACAATTTTCCTTAATTAAAACTGAAATATCTGTAAATAGTTACTACAAAATAACATTTAAATAAGTATATTTACCATAGCACACCACACACAGACGTTGGGATCTCTGATGCATTCTTGACAAGTTTTCTGCTGACAAATATCTAAGGCGAAAATCAAATGGAATTGTAAACTAAAGCTTAGAAAATAAATTAGCAAGCACTTAGAAGACATGGTGACTTAACGGCCGATACTAAAAATATAAACATGTCATAAGGATAATTGAAATGCTACTTGTTAAATGTACAATAAGGATAATATTATTCGATAAAGCTGTGATCACACTGTTCACTATTTTAAAATTATTTACGCAACATTTGTATTATAGCTTTCGTGAGACATACTAAATTGATTTAAATGTTTTTTTTATGGCATAAGCCGGTAAACGAGCAGACGGATCACCTGATGGTAAGCAATCGGCGTCACCCATGGACACCTGGAACACCAGAGGTATTACAAGTGCGTTACCGGATTTTTGGGAATTAGGAGTTTGATGATCGTTGGGGATTCAGGAATTGGGGAGATTGGGGAAGGGGAGGGTAATTGGGCCTCCGGTAACCTCACTCACACGACGAAACACAACGCAAGCGTTGCTTCACGTCGGTTTTCTGTGACGCCGTGGTATAACTCTGGTCGAGCCGGCCCATTCGTGCCGAAGTATGGCTCTGCCACACTTTTTTTTCGGCTTACTCGGGCTACTTTGAAAGTAGCAGTGTGACAGTCGCCGCGTCGTGAGTTGCAGGATGCTGCTCATGAATTTGAGCATCCAGAATGGTTTGAAACTTGGCGGGTTCCTCGTTAAATATAATAATTATGCAGACTATTTACTATGCTATGTTTAAGATGATCTCCATAATAAGAGCATCGATGAAGAGTTGTAGGTATATAGTATTCTGTTTTAGTTATGGTTAAAAAGATCACAAGTAAATCCCATCCAAGTTGCACTGGTGACACAAAGGTTATTGCGACAGCTACATTAGTTTTACAAATGAACACTCAGCTTTATAATGTAATTGTATGAATTTCCGAAAAGATTTTTCCCTCTAACCGATAGGTGTTATAAACAGAACTGTAATAATCAGTTGAAATACGTTTATTAATTAATACAGACATAACTAAGTTATTCGATCACTGCATTTAGTACACACGGTTTTTAAACAGTGGCTCGGTCCTACCTAGGACCTAGTAGGACCATGAATATTCTAATGAGATTTAGGAATAATTTATTTTTAATATTATTAATATTCTTTATAAATACTGCGACATCATGTAAGTTCGACACCTGTGGTGAGTGCATCAGCTATGCGGAAGACCATTGCGTTTGGTGTGCTCAGGTAAGTGTTCCCATTTTCAATTGAATATTATTATTAAGCAGAGAAAATTGTGTATTTTGTAGCTTTAACATACTTAGGTAGTTCTGCAATTAGCAAGGATCCATATTGTTTAGCTTAAAAATATTTTAAAATCAAATCAATTTTATTCAGAAATATTATCTGTATGAAGATTTCGATAAAATCCTGGTATGTACTACGAACTGCTAATACTAAATAATAACACTTAACAGTAATTACAAATTAGTTTAGACAAGGAAAAATGAATAGTACAAGTCTGTTTCAAGTATAGCGTGCCACGCCCAAACATTAGAAGTGATATAGGATATTCAATAGTTTGTAGACGTATAATGAATCAAATACAATAGAAATTTTGTTTTAGGATGGCATAACAGGACCAAGATGCCGTTCTTTTAAGTCAGTTTCTGAAAACACAACCAAGCAGGTCGATTCAAAGTGGTGCAACCCCAAATACATACACAATCCACTGTTTCATAAAGAAACAACAGAAGATAAAGACTTTGCAGAAAGTAAAAATGGAACCCAGGTACAGATAAAGCCCCAAGCAATCAAGGTCAAAGTAAGGCCAGGAGAGCCTGTGGACTTCACCATCAATTTCAAACCCGCTAAAGATTATCCTTTAGACGTATACTATCTTATGGATATTTCTTATACGATGGAATCCAAAGTCGACGATTTAAAACGGCAAGCACAAAAAATATACAAAGATCTATCAGCATACACGAATAACGTCAGATTGGGTATTGGAAGTTTCGTCGAAAAACCAGGATTCCCGTATGTTGATCCTATAATGTAAGTCAATTTAATAAAAGTAGGTTTAAAAATGTATTTACTCAGTATTTTTATTGGATATCACAATAATGTCTTAACTATGCTTAAACTAATTTCAGACACAAGAGCCATGCTTTTAGAAACCATATTCCTTTAACAGACGATATGAAATTATTTATTTCTACTATAGAAAATATTGAGTTTGGATCAAATTTCGATGATCGTGAAGCTGGTTTGGATGGACTGATGCAAGCTATGAAATGTCGCGATGAAATTCAATGGAGAGATAATGCGAGACGTATAATAATTATGAGTACAGATGCTCCGTACCACAGTGCAGGCGATGGTAAAATTGTAGGGGCGATCAAACCTCATGACATGATGTGCCACTTGAAGGATAATATGTATACGGAAGCCCTAACACTGGACTATCCATCTGTAAGCCAGATAAATAAAGTGGCAACAGATGAAAACTTCAAAATAATATTTGCTATTGCCGTAAACAGTCAAACTAATGTAAGTTTATGTTTTTATTATAGAAAATATTATTCTATTATCTTGAATGGTCTTGATCTCTGAAATAATATAGCCAACGACTAATAAAAAACTCATTGAATTTTAAAGAACAAAAATAAGTTATGTGCCGCGTCAATCGCTATAAAACTTGAAATATTTATGTGTTACACAGGTAATTCCGGAAACGGAATACAAAAACTTAGCCAAGCAGATAACTGGAGCTACTTTCGCAAGGTTGGAAGGAGGCGACAGTGTCATACAAATTATCAAGGAAGCATACGAGGTAAGCCATCAATAATAATCAACCTTTATGTACACTATTTCAAATAAGTTAAAACAGCTACGTTGATAAAGAAGGGGGACCAAGAGACGTGACATCAGACTGTTTTGTAACTTAACTGTCTGTCATTGGTTACTTACCCTGATTTCCACCATAACATCTACTTTATTTTCTATTATGTGGTGAATTATCCTACTTTTTATTTCAGGAAATGGCAAACACTGTACATATAAAGTACAAGGCTCCGCCGTTTGTGAACGTGACTATTGATCAGGATTGCAACTCAGTACCAAAAAGACATTGTGAAGTTGCACATAAACAGTCACTTAGTATCAATGGAACACTAGTCGTTAGGTCATGTCCTAAAGCTAATAAGAACACTAAATACACAGTTACACTTAATCCCTATGGTTTACGCGACAACCTGGCGATTGAATTAGACATTGCTTGCAAATGTAGTTGTGAGCAGGAAACCAGTAGCATAGTACCAGGAATTTGTCACGGCAGTGGTTTTATTCAGTGTGGAATTTGCAAATGTCAACCTGGAAGGTAAAATATCAATAATATATAGCATTTTTTTAAACTATGACAAATGATTGGAATTCTGCTCAATTAAGTGATTAAAAAAAGTTACTTCATCGAAAAGATAGACCTGTGGTAAGGCTTAAAACCTAATAAAAAGGATATAATTAGTGTAAGATTAAACATATTTTTTTTTGTAGTTATGGTAGTGACTGTCGTTGCAATGGCGCTTCCACGGACCAGCGTGATATGGAGAAATGTAAAATAAGTAGCGACGCAAAGTTGTGCAGCGGTAGAGGCATTTGCAAGTAAGTTTACTGCATTACAACTATTGATGAATTAGTCTTCTATTAGTTATTTGGGTGGTAAGAACATATACGATATGGTTAAAATGATATTTTGTTTAGATGTGGACAATGTGAGTGCCAAGATGGTTTTTCTGGAGATTTTTGCGAGTTTGATGACAACTCCTGTCCTAAACCAAACAACCAGCTTTGTTTCGGACACGGTAGGTGTATCCGAGGGCAATGCAAATGTGACATGGGATATAGTGAAAAGGACTGCAGTTGCAAAAATGATGACAAGGATTGCTACGCGCCATACGCTACTGAGGTAAATCAATAAACGACACTTTCATTTTGTATGGTTGCAAATACTAGATATTTAAGAAAAGTTGTGCCCTTATGCTCTTAAAAAAATATTGATTGATTGACGTTGTTATAGTTGTTAGGACAGTTTTGAATATAAACAAAATCTTCTATTTCATCCAGTAATAAATATATTTTTGTCGCTTTCTTTAATTTAAATTAAATGTAATATTTCAGGCATGTTCTGGAAGAGGTAAATGCATCTGTGGTGCATGCGTATGTGATAAAATAAAGGACAAAAACGAAACTTATTCTGGAGTATTTTGCGACAGTTGTGAGGAATGTGCCGCAGCACGGTGTAAGGAACTGGAAAACTATGCCTACTGCAATTATATTCACCGGGATAACAAGGCTATTTGCGACCGTGATCAAGGAAGCAAGATTTCTAACATTATAGTTGAGTTTATGAACAAAACCGAGATAAATGGACCAAAATTGTATATGGCTACGTGGTGCAAGAAGGAGCTGGAGAGTAAGAATGGAAGTTTCATAGTATTCAAGTACCGATACGTTAATCATGATTTGAAGATTACGATCCAAGACGAATTGGAATCACCACCTAAAGCTAATATTTGGAGTGAGTATTTGTTGTTGAGTTGTTATCAAGTGTAAATTTGTCGCGAGCTACATTCAGGACCTTAATTCTGCCAGTGGGTGTCGTAGCAGCAGTACTCTCTTATAAACCTGAATCTATAAACTGTGCTGTAATCTTTTATCGACTGGCAAGCTTGGAGATCGTGACAACCGTTTTATGTAGACAAGACCCACCATCCATTACGAATATTGACAAGGCCACATCATCAGGGTTGATAATGTAGTTTTACCATGTGCTTGTTCAATTAATTTAGTTATTAGAGGCACTGACTTAACTCACTAGCGTGACAGTAGCATTTACTACTTGTAAAATCAGATTTTTAAACGTAATTTATTTTTTACAGTTGCTGCTGGATCGGCGATAGGCCTGGTTCTCTTAATCGGAATACTAACTGTCATCATTTGGAAGATTCTAGTAGATTTACATGACAAAAAGGAATTCAAGAAGTTCCAAGATGAAGCTTTGGCCGCCGGCTACGATGTCTCTCAAAATCCTTTGTACCAAGACCCGTCCATTAATTTCTCGAATCCCGTGTACAATAACCAATGTGCTACGTAAGCTGATGTACAAATAAGGATAATTTTATTATAATGTCAGTCCTATAAATAATTTGAATGTAAGGAAAATAAACATTTATTTCCAGTTAACCCAAAAATAGTGTACCTAGTTATTGTCCTACTTTACCCAATTTTAATAAAACGATTATTATTAAGATGTTGATAACAATTATGTAGCTAAGAAACACAAAAAATCTAAAAGCATTTCAAGTACAGCTTTTATTACCAAAACATGGTTACAGTTTCCCCTTTAAATTCGCAATAAATATGTATAAATTATATAAATAAAAACATATAAAAAATATAAAAAATCCTCACAAATTTTTTTACAAAACATTCACAGCGGCACACCGACGACGCCGTGTATGTAAATCGAGTTTCAATTGTATACTGTTAATTACTACCATCCCGTCGTTTCGAATGTTTCTAGTGTTCTTCCAATATAAAATAATTTGCGACGGATCCTTCCGAAAGAAAAGAAGTATCTCCGGTCTTAAGTCATGTCCTTGGGTGTTTAGAATTCGACATTCTGTACTGTCGAAAGCCGGGTGCAGAATGCCAAATTCACTTTTTTTTGTATAATTTTACTTTTTACTTGATCGCTGCCCTTGTCGGTCGTGGGACCGACGCAGCCGAGTCGGAGGTTCATCGTGGTATAGTCTTCGCTCCCGACGTTCATCAATGTCAACTCTTGTGGGAGTCGCCTGGAATAAAGGATTAAGGATAAAAGATTCCTTAGCATATTATTGACTGTTAAACTTAGAATACGATTTTAGGGGCAAACTAAACTTATGCCGGAATACTGAAACGTTACTCAATTTTAAGTCGTGCTCAAATATCGTGCCATCTGTCATTTTACAAAGAATTTGTAGAGACAGAACTATACTTAAGCACGACTTAAAATTGAGTAGCGTTTTAGTATTCCGACATTAGGGCGTTAACCCTTTGAGTACCGTCATTATAGACACAATTAAAGAACAATAGGTTGCGGTCACCGGTGTCCCCGCAGTGTTTGACAGCAAAAGGGTTAATATTATGTAGGTAATATGGTACAAACTTAATGTCATTTTGGTTTCTTTTATACTGGTTATGTTAACCTTACCCAACTATGTCCATATTAACATGTAAGCAAAAATATATGTCTATATATAAGCCTAAGAAAACCGGTTCAAATAGGTATACTTTATAGTCTATTCAATGTGACTCCATGAAAAGTATAGTTTGTAACGGTGAAAGAATAATACCTATTAAAATTCGGTTTAATAGTTTATGAGCTTATTCGGTATAGACAAAATCTAATCATTTCGTATAGAGATTAACCATTATTGCAAGTTTACCTTGTTAGTTTCGGGTCGAATGCGACGCGGTCTTAGGCCGATATTCGAGAGTTCGGGGGCAAGATCTCCAGCAGACCTACGCCCGCCCGTTTCGATAGTGACTCTTTGGATACATGCGCAGCTAAAATAAATAAAAATGTTAAATAATTGGAGCAGAATATAGCACAAGTTTTACTAAATAATAAAAAGTGACACAATATACGACCATGCTATGAATTACCTAGCCATAAACTTAGCGGTGATGATCATCGTCTAATCGTATTTGAGTATTTAGGGTCTTTACAGTGAACCCAAATACGATCACTATTCTAAGTTTGGCGACCAGTTAGGTTGTAATATCAAACCATGGCTATTCATTTTGTGTAGACAATACTGATAAATGAATGAATGATGATGTATTAGATTTTCGGCTTATTTACGTAACTGTAGACATTTTGGAACGAGCAAATAGCTTCACTAGAGGACTGACCTACAGACTGAAATTTTTTCTTATTATTTAATATTTAAATATTTTGTTTTGACGTTCAAAAGTGCCTTCCTGGTCTAATTGAAATTAATGATTTTGACTTTAACTATTTGACGAAGAACTCGACTAGTTTCAAGCCATGCTAGAGGCTCATATGCTTAAAACTAGTTGAGTTCCTTGTCAAATAGTTACGTTAGTAAGTCAAAAAAAAATTTTGTATGTTTCACGAAAGTTTTAATATAAAAATGATGATTATGATGAAAGACAAGGGTTACCTTACACGGCATCAAAATATAACTGGGATTAAACACATTAAACACATATTAAAAAGAAAACGTGTTTCATACCCTTCTATATCTGGATTCGGAGGAGGTGCATAACGCAGCGTAACCTCAGGACTACAGGCTCTAGAACCAGTGGGAGTGCTGCGACAAACAGCTTCACGAACCTCTTGAAGCCGTCGACGCTCCTCCGCTACCTTACGGTCTAATTCCGCAACTGTATAAATAGTATCGACATCAAACTGTGGTAGTTTGACGTTGGCGAATATTTATTTTGTTTAGTTTTAGGTGTTAAATAAATCAACAAGTTTCAATAAAGTAAGATAATAGGAAAACCAAACAACCTTTTAGATAACATGTCTATAATAGGTCTAAACAAGGAAAAAATCACATAAATACTTAGTAGATACCTACTTTATTATAAGCACATAACTTACTGTGTTGTTGCGCATTCCGTTGTTTACTCATCAGTTCGCTTTCCAAAGAGTCTATCCTCTTTTGAAGAGCTTCCTCCTTGCTGAGTTTAGTTTTCCACGTACGACATACCTTAAGGTGAAGAAACGACAGCTCTTGAGCATCCAAAGCTTGAAGACCCTCCAGCTTCAACGGTCCCTGAAAGAATTTACGTATGTACGTAATCGCCGAATACAAATTGTGCAATGGATATTGGTAATCGGCTTAGTTATTAGCGTAATGGATTAGTGATTTGGCTATCCTAAATGATAGCTTCTATGGAAACCATATAGTTACAAGAAACTTAGTGCCATCTACTTACCAGCTCGTAGAAAATCGCTGTGAATATTAGATACATAAGTAAAGGGAGCTAGAGTCTTAGATCATAATATAAAATTATTGGTCTTACATCTAAGTTCCCATTTAGAATCTTGTTGGCAATGTATTTTAGGTACGTGTGTTCAGCCATCTTACGTTGTTCTATGTCGACTTGCTCAAATATGTTGCGAATAGTGTCCGATATATTAACGTCCACGGAGCACGTACAGGGACCATTGGAACGAGATTTCGGCTTCACATTGAAAGCCTCTACGTTTGTCTTTGTCAGCATTCTAGTCTCTCGACATTTTCTATGCCTCCTCATTTCGGGCGACGACATTCTTATCGGTTCCTTAAGTATAACGAATAATCTCTTATTTTTATAAAGATTGAAGTGGACTACTAAAATTTGAATTCATATAGTACACACGGCTACACATCGAGCTTTACATAACCAGTATAAACTGAACGTTAAACGTGCGGAAAGATGTTGCGACGCGACACCAGGATAAATTGGTTTTCTATAGATTGATGTGTGGCCGTGTGTAGAATTAAAGCTAATCCTGCAATTTCTTTACAAAACCATAAGTAGCAGTTTCAAAGTAAGAGATGAAAAGCACCAACCTAGTTATGCAAAGAATAGCTGCACTGCTAAATGAATAAATAGCGCATTGTAATTATCTACCTACATTGTAATAGTAGTAGTAGTAGTATTGTAATAGAAGTAATAGTAGTTCTACTTACAAAATCTACACTGGAAATCCCGCAATCTAAAGCTTTAGTTTTCAGCGCCCGGTTTTCTTTTTCCAATTTTTCTGCCTTTCTCATTGCTTCTATGCTCATTGTTCGTAAATTTTCTACTTCATTCTCATGAAGTTTCATTATATCTTGTAGTGTCTCTTCATGAAGACTTTGAATGCTTTTTACACCTTGATTGTGTTCATTGATTATGCTTTTGATATTACTGTCATATTGCATTTTAATAGCTTCTATTTTTTTCTTATAGTCTTTTTCAATATTTTCCAGAGCTTTAGTGAGACAGTTTATTTTAAGTTCATAATCATTATTAGCATCTAACTTAGCCATTATGCTACGTTCAGTGAATGACTTTGGAGATTTGTCGCTAGATTTACTATTAATTGAATTCGTTTTGTATTCTGTGGATGACATTTTAAATTCACTTAGCCGAGACGGGCTGGAGTCCGTCTTCTCTCTTATTTTTACTAAATTAAATCTCTCATCACTCCTTGTCTTACGCAAATCTTTTGTCGCATAATATTTAATCGCATCAGGATCAACTTCGCCCTGCACAGTATCCATTATGTATTCTAGTCCAAAGTTTTTTCTACCAGCTTGAGAGGACTTTTGGTCTGGTTCTGCTTTAAGTAGACGTACATCGGCATCTACTCTTGATAACTTGTGATATGAATCGCTGCCAAAAGGAGTTGAGTTTGTTGGCATTTTCTTAGAAACATGGAAATCTGTTGGTTTTGATGTACCACTGTCAGTTTCTAAGACTTTATTTTTCCTATTTCCTAATCTAACAGCATCTTCGTCTGATTCTACTCTTAGGTAATTATCATGGTATGACCCCGTAAATTGATTATCATCATTAGATATCGTTGGAAACGATGTCTCATGCTTTACAGTTTTACCGTCTTCGTTAATTTTTGTGTCTGAATCCGAAAGTAGTTTCGGTGAAGAGTATAGTGCAATGGTATATGAGCCCAAAGATTTCTTATCGATATCCGATGTAGTACTTTCTGTTCCTACTCTAGGCAAACTAATTTTCAATTTTTGTCTTACACTGTCGTCCACAATAGTTTCATCATTTTCTTGAAAAATATATGAATCTTTTTCGCCATAATTTTTAGGGTCGATGTTAATTGTATTATTCGTAGGATGGACAGTAACGGCCTCAACCACTATTTCAGAATGGCCTTTACCAGACCAAGTTCCTTTCGACTTTACTTTGTTATTGTTATTGTAGCTACTTTCACTGTCTTTATAAATAACAAATAAATCTTTATCTGTCGAGTTGTCTGAAGTTGAAGCAACGTACGTTTTACTATCCTTGTATTTACTAGCCTTATTGTTTTCAGTACCATAATTTTCCTGTGCGGCGTATCCAGTAGATTTAGCTTGACTATGAGACGGTATCATGCTGCTGGCGATATTATCTGATCCATAATTTCCTTTTGAAGAGTCAGTGTGCATCGATTGTTTGTTGTAAATATCTATTAAGTTATTACTTTGAGTTTTTGCATTGACATATTTCTTTGTTGACTTATGAGCCTTTTTAGCTGCACGGTCGTTGATCTTAGGGTCGGTGTTGGTTTTACTCTCAGTTTTTTCTTTATCATTATCAGTGAAACAAGTTATAGACTGCTGTTCCAACTTTCCTGGCTTCAACCTTTTCATTTTATAATCAATATAACTATTTTTGATAACTTCAAAGGTTGGTTGCTCTAGAGCTGCCGCTAAAACTTGAACTTCATTTGTCAAATGTGGTTTTTCAGGCTGCATTTCAAGTTGAGTATGTTTATTATCCAGAGGTGCTTTATTCATTTCCATTAAATTTATATTTTCCATATAGTCAAGCTTGTCTCTAGTGGCTGAAGTGGTTTCAGTGCCGTCAATTGTATTTACCTCGACAGGTAACAATAATTCTTCATCTGTTTGAGTTTCCATATTTCTAAATATGGGTGCGGTTTTAGTCTGAGCTTCTTTGTTACGATGTGGTTTATTCTTTAGAGCGTCTAACTGCTTTTGGAGTTCAGCTACTTCATTTGATTTTTTTCTTAAGTCCGCCTTTATTTCTTCTACCATTTCCAACAACTTGTCTTTGTCTTCTGTCATGCTTTGCAATCTTTCTTGCAGTTCACTTATTTTGTCTACAGAATTTTTGTAAAGGTTTTGTAGAGTATCTAGTTCATCTTTTAATTTAGAAATGTAATCTTGAGAAGACTTATTTATTCTATCAATTATTAGCTTTTGGTTCAAAATTGTTGCTTCTAAATCGTCAATTATCATTTTATCTTTAACGATTTGATTTTCTAGTTTTGTTTTAAGTTCCAATAATTGTTTTTCCATATGTTGTTTGTCTATAATTGCTTCTTCTTTTTCATTAATAATTTTTTGTTTCTCTCTTTCTACAATTTTCTTTGCCTCGTCTGCCTTACTTAAAAGAAGTTGAGAAGATGTTTGAACTTTCAATAATGTGCGTTCTAACGATGAGCTCTTGCAAGATCTGGCATCGAAAGATTTTCTAATTCTATCTAGCGATGCTAATATATCTTCTGCATTACATTTGTTTGGTGCTAAGTCACTTTCACCGACGGTCTTAAGCTCCAGTTGCTTAATGTCAGTAACAATTATTTCTCTTTCATTTTGTAGGTGTTTTACTTGAGATAAAATTTTAAACGTATCTCTTGAAAATTCATCAGATTGTACTTTTGTTACTGATAGTTGTTCTGATAGCAAAGAGTTTTCTTGTTGTAGTTTTGCTAATTCCATCTTCATGTTGTGTGTTGCTCGAGAGTCTAAACAAATATTAATGAAAATATAATAGCCAATTAATTTAGTTTAACTAGGTAGTACAAATAAAACTTACGATGAGCTTCCATATTCTTCAAAGAATCAAGCTTCTGAAAACTGAAATCTTTTATTTGTTCACCGGTGTCAATTACTTCAGCCAGGCTAGAATGAAGTCTAGTTACTTCTTCCTCCAATTCATTCAAGTGGTTTTGTAAAGTTGCTATTTTACTATCCCGAGCATAAACATCGTCATTAAGTGAAGATATGGCATTTTCCTAAGGTCAGATCAAACAATTAGCAACGATATAAATGAATTTTCCATAACTTAATTCTAAGTTTAAGTTTAAATTTTGCGTAACTTAGTGTATTCACACTAAGTTACGCAAAGTTTTTGGGGGGTTAGTGTGGACTATTGTAACGTTTGATTCCATGATTTTACGTAATTGGTAAAAAGGATATTAAAACTAAATTGTACGGCTATAATACGTACGGCTTCTTCCAATTTGTCGAGCAGGTCTCTAATCTTTATCTGATTGTTTTGTTTCTCTTCACGTATTATTTCGATTTCCTGTATTATATCTCTATACGGCTCGATTGAACCGGTAGATTGTTTAATAAGCTAAAATTAAAAATAAGTCTACATTTTTTAATAAGTTTAAATCGAACAGAGCCTTGATTTAGGGGAAATTAATTTTATTTTTGGTAATTCTTAAATAAATAAAAATTTTATCGATTATTATATATCTCTGAACTGAATATCTCACCTCAGTTCTCGTTCCTATTAAAGCATTTTGTAAGTCTTCATTTTCTTGTTCCATTTTCTTCAGATCACCAAATTGCATTTTCATTTTAAGTTCTAAATTATCTTTCTCCATTTTTACATCATCGTGAGCTTTTTTAAGTTTTTCGAACTCGGTTTCCAAAGTTTCATAATATTTAAGTTTATTTATCAATTCGTCACTTTGGGTCTTCATGACATTTAATCTATCTCGTGCTGATTTCACGTCCGATGAATTAATAGCTTGATTTGCTTCTAAAGCTTTTATCTGTTCAATTAGTTCTCTATTTTCTTCAATTTTATTTTCTAAAGTATTATATAAATGATTAAATTCTTCCGTTTTGTTTTGAAAATCGTTATGTAACATACTTTTTTCGTATGATAATTCAGCATAAGCCTTTTTCAAACTTTCTAATTCTTGTTCTAAATCATCGGCATGTTTACATTTATGCAATAAGTGTTCATTTTCTAGAGTAACAGTATTTAATGTTTGCAAAAGGTTCTCTATATATCGTTTCTTGTCTATGAGTTCCTTATGAGCTGCATATTTTTCCGTGGATAGTTTTTGATACGCATCACTAAGTCTAGAGAGTTCATTATCTTTTGATCCTTGAGATTGCTGTAATCTATCAATAAGCTCATCGCTTTCTCTTTTACTTAATTTAATTGTATGGATTGCGTTTTCAAGTTCGAACGTTTTTTCAAGCAATTCATTTTCGAGGCGCGATTTCTCTGTAAGTAATTTTTCATGTGCTTCTTGTAAACTTTGTAGTTGAACGCTTAAATTATCGTAATGCATCATTTTATCTTTCAGCTCACCACTTTCTTTGCGTGTTACATCCAAAGAAATCTGGTATTGTTTTTTTTCATTTTCTAGACTATTGATACTATTGACTGCATATTCATTCACATCACGTAAGCGTTTAATCTCTTGTTGTAAAAGAGAGATTTTATTATCGCGGATAGATAACTCTTTTTTCAAATTCATATTTTCTTCCATTAGAGAATCTTGAAGTTCTTTGTTATCTTGTAATTGCTGCTCTAAAGATTTTGTCGTGTTTTCTTTTTTGTGTATCATCTGATCATAATCTTTAACTTTATCTAATAACTCCTGGCTTTCCTGCCGCGCTACCTGCAGTGATTGTAGAGCTTGTAACTTTTCTTTTTCCATCGACACTAGGCTGGAACTAAATCTTTCCTTCATATCATTTAGTTGCCCCACTAAGTCCCTGTTTTCATCCTTCTTTCTTTCCATGTCCTGCATTAATTTATTGATTTCTTGGGATTTATTTTTAATAACGTTCATTAAGTTTTCTACAGCTGATGTGTTTTCGTTCAAATTCTCTTTTAATAATCTAGTTTCTTCTAACAAACTTTCTTTATACTCTTCCAAGTACTCATTACGTTGCATGGTTTTTTCATATGTAGCTAAAACATTTCCAATTGAATGAGTATTACAAAACATTTATGAACATCCTGAATATTTGTTAATTAATACCTATATCATGTAAATATTGTATATTATTACAAAAAACTTACTTTTCCAATCTACTATTTCCAACTTCAATTCGTTAATGAGTTCCAACTGTTCCTGGTAGTGCTTTTGTAACTCTTGTTTTTCTTCTTCATTACAAAATAGAGCGTCCCTTAAATTTTTTATTTGTTCTTTACAAGATTGAAGGTCATCCATCAAGGATAATGTATGATTTTCCGAATCTCTTGGAAGAGGCTGAAAAATAAGAAGTAAGAAAGTTATATCAATTATTTTGTGAGCATTCGTCTTTAAAAATTGGTTTATTCCACTTTGTTCACCTGGGTGATTTCACCTAGGTGAACAAAGTAGACTTTTTGGAGTCCTCAATTCACCTGGGAATTATTTCACCCAGGTGATATCACCTAGGTGAATTGAGTTGACTCAAGTAGTCTCCTTTGTTCACTTGTCAATTTAATTCACCCAGGTGCACAAAGGCGACTTTTTACTTTTACGTTGTGGACTTATATCACCTACCTACCTTACATCAAGTTAAATAAAAACTTTCAATTTAACATACATTTTAATATGTTCAAATATCAGATTAATGTTGGTCTTTTACACATACAAAAACATATCTGAATTTCTAACACTACGCTAGGAGTTCCAGCTTATAGCTGTACACTGGGTATAATTACGAACGAAATTTTATTTCCACATGTGGTCTGAAAATCCGTGTAAATGTTCATTGAAGTGTACCTACTTTGCGATGCCGCCAAAACTATGTATCTATACTTGTAATAAATCTGTAGAGAGGTCAATTCTGTACACGAAATATATTTCCAAAATAATTATCAGGGGGTGATTGCTACTAAGTAATGCCAAAAATGCATACAGTAAAATTTTTGTCTGTCTGCCTGTGTGTTCCTTATAGAAAAGACTACTCGACGCATTTTAACGAAACTTGGTTCATGGTATATGGTATGATGGAAGTATACTTTAACTTCCCCAGGAGTATGAAGAATGATTGAACCAAGTTTCGTTATTTCGTTCGATATTTGAACATATTAAAATGTATGTTAAATTGAAAGTTTTTATTTAACTTGATGTAAGGTAGGTAGGTGATATAAGTCCACAACGTAAAAGTAAAAAGTCGCCTTTGTGCACCTGGGTGAATTAAATTGACAAGTGAACAAAGGAGACTACTTGAGTCAACTCAATTCACCTAGGTGATGTCACCTGGGTGAAATAATTCCCAGGTGAATTGAGGACTCCAAAAAGTCTACTTTGTTCACCTAGGTGAAATCACCCAGGTGAACAAAGTGGAATAAACCTAAAAATTGATGTACCAACCTTTGCGTGATCTTGTTCAATTATATTGTCAATTTGCAAGGATAAAGTTTTTATCTGTTGTTCTTGGCACATAATTCTGCATTCAGCTTCCTTTAACTTGCATAATAAAACGTTTTTCTCCTTTTCGAAAGCAATCGATGCTTCATTTAATTTCTTTTCTAGGGAAATATTTTCGTTCCGCAAAGAATCCATTGCTCTACATTTGATATGATTAATTTCAGATTCAGCTTTTAATTGTGTTTCCAAATTAGAAGTTTCATCACTTAATATAAGATACTGTTCTTTAAGGCTATCGAGATCAACTGAGCGCTTTCGATAATGCTCTTTTTCATTCCACAAAGAATTATATTCTCTCATTTGCATTTTCAAATTTTCTAATTCACGTTCCATTTCTTGATACTTCTCACAACGTTTTTCTAAAATAGCTTTATCGAGTTTTAATTTTTCATAACATAACATTAATTCATTGAAATTTCCTTGTAGGCTTTTCAAGCGTTTGAGGTTTTCCGTGTCTATGTTGTAATTATCAATTATGAGGACATCATCAATGGGCTCTTCATCAGCTTTGATGGTCGAATTTTCTTTACTCAAAATCTCCTTCATTTCGTCATTTTCTATAATGTCCGCAACAAGCTGAGCTCTTTTATTGTCTAGGGTAGGATGTTTTAATTCTGATGATGTTACTGCAAACGTTGGGTTAACACGGGATAATACGTCAACACGGTAGCAAGCACAATCCTCGCTTTTATCATCACTTTCAGTAATAAACTCTTGAGTGCAAGGAGCTATTAACGCAACGCAGAATTTTTCCAATACCAGCAGTTTAAATAGTATTTTACCTTTTATATCGAGACAAAAAATATCTTTACCAGTGGTCTAAAATTAAAATCAGTAAATGTTATAAACGAAAACAGTTATCTTACGAAATATAAGAGAAATCAATGTTTATACAAACCAATAACTTCAAGTACTGGCTATACTTGTCATTTTGGCAAAGAGTGGCGAATATTTTCTCCAATGCAGTATAAATGTGAGCATAAATGCAATAAGGTTCGCAAACATCATTTTCCATCACCTGTTTTACCAAAAATAGGACAAAAATCTCAAAAATCTCCCAACGATTATAAACAAACAGTAAGTAGGTACAAAGATACATACAGCTATAGTGTTTTTCATGGCATTTAATTTCGCGTCTTTCGTAATTATGCATTCTTGCATTTCGTCGATTCTCTTGTCTTTTGAAACTTAAATTTGAAAAATAGTATTAACATTAGAATATCTAAGTCTTTATGATTGATTATTTTACTAAGTTCTAAAATATTTTAGAAATTACTAAACTAAATTAAACGTTATGTCATCCAATTTTGTAAGTGAAACACTGCGACGAAGGGTTGGTCTGGTGATTTTTAGCTACTGTAGACATCAGTCTCAAGCTTGTGTCATGGTTTGAGTACGTATATTTAACAAAATACATGTTGAGAAATAAATGAAATTTACTATCACTATCTATGCCTATAAATGCCCACTGCTGAGCAAAGCCTCTTCTCACACGGAGAAGGTTTGAGCATTTCACCACGCTTGCTTATTGCGGGTTGGCGATTTCAAACTTATAATTAGAAATTAAGTATAAGTCCAGGTTTCCTCACGATGTTTTCCTTCACCGTTTGTCAGTGGTGTCTAAATAATCTTAGAAAGTACATATAACTCGGAAAAAGTCACATTGGTACTTGCCGTTGGTAGGTTTTGAACCCGCACCCTCATGCATGAGAAGCGGGCGTCTTAACCTCCCAGCCACCAAATGAAATTTAAACTAAATGAAATAAAATATTTTCTTACGAGTAAATTCATCACATGTACACTTCATCATATTGCTTTGAATGCCTTTTGAGTCCGTTTGCGGCTGGTCCAAGTGCGCAAAAATTAAAACATTCATTGATTAAATGTTGTACACAACTTAGTACTTTCTACTTAAGAATTCTGGCTACTTAAGAAGACCTATAAGAGTCTATATTTATTATTAAAGAGATAATGACATCTGAGTTTGTTTCGGCGTTTTTTCTCAGAGTAGTCAGGAAACGCCGGCCCTCATCTAGTACTTTAAAGATTGACGAGTAAAAGTGTTACTTTGTAACCCATCTGCAGAAGTAAATATCATATGTACCTATCATTAAAATTCATTACCCCATTTCTAAATTAAAATCTTGTTAGAAAACATCTTTTTAATAACAAAATATTGGTTTTATTTAATTGTTTACTGAAAGCTTTCTATCATTTACTTTTTTAAAAGGACATTTTATATTTGGAATCTCGTTTGTAAGGCTGAATGGCTACTCAATGTACAGGTGTATGTATATCGTGCTATCTCTGTTATTTTCCTAATAAAACGTAGTGATAGCACTATAAGTACTTAAGCGCGACTTCAAATTGAGTGGTGTTTGTATAAAATAAGATATAAAAGTAAGACTATCAATTACGGTAAACCTGTAAAATGGAGTGTATAGAACCGAAATAGAAACGGTGAATGGAGACGGAAGAAGGGTTAATATTAGGAAATTTTTCATAGTATCTATTCACCCCAGTCTCGTTTCTTCCGCGAATGAATTCAACCAAGAATTCTCTATTTATATCTAATATTACAAGTAGGTAGGTATTCTTTATACTATGGTAATGAGACATATAAGTACCTCATCTCCATCACCTGTCGACTTGCCGGTCTGGAATGAAAACACAAAAGTGTTAAAACGGTTTAACGCATAAAACACGATCCTAACTTTCAATAATATAAAATAATTACCGCAAATCCTTCTGAATCAATGCCCTGCAAAAATAAATTATTTTATTATTATTAGCTCGTTTGAAAAAATCTATAAAATACATACATAGGATACATTATCCTCTAATACTAACTTCTGTAAAACCGGATAAATCCAAATCGAAGCACTGTGAATAGAAGAAATCGAATTATTAATTCATCAATATGATAATGATGTAAGTATGTTAATTTTAACTCAAGTTTGTTTGTTTGTAAGCGCTGATCTCTAGAACTACTCGTCCGAATTAAATAATTAATTTTGTGTTGAATAGTACATTTATTGACGAAGCTTACAGATATGAAACATCACGCTACGATCACTAGGAGCTGAGTAAAGTGGGTGAAACGCAATGGAATCATACCGATACCCATTAATAGAATAAAATGACCCGTATAAGTAAGTGTAATTAATACAGGAAAAGAAACAAGATCTTTGATTGCATACCAAATCATCGAGCTCTTTATTGGCCGCTCTTATTGCTGCATGCTGAAAAATAAATATAATTAATTTCACCAAAACCCAGCCGTTGCCATTAACTACAAATCGTTTGTATGTACACCTATGTACATAGTAAACACTTTGCACCATCTGGAACCGAACATGGGAGTTGCACGGCCAACAAGAGTTTATAAAGTAGTTTTAATAATTTTAAATCACAATTCAACTCTTGAAGAAAACGAAACAATCAATATTGCCACAAAAAATAAATGCATATACACGTCATGTACTTACAGCTTGAGCAATATCGCATCTCTGATCGCACGTGAGGTCGAGTTGGTCATATGCAGCCAACAATTGCTCAAACTCTTCAATTTTGCGCTTCAAGCGTGCGATCTCTGCATTCTTGGCTACCATGAGCGTGTCCACGATCACATCCGTCGGCACATACTTCGGTTGGACCGTCTCGTTGTTCCTCTTTATTACCTCCACCAAGTGCTCACTCTTGTCCGAACAGAAGTGGGACCAAGCTCTCGCGTCTGTGCATGACGCGTACGCCTTCAATTTCCCTTCGTTCCTCGCCGGCAAGTCGAACAGATCGTATTCGTTGAACACACGCTCCCTTTTCGTAATGAAAGACATCGCGATGCCAACTGTTTCGTCTACTTATAGGATAATGTAAGATTTTTCTAAACATATACATGTATATAAATATATGCTACTTTTCTCCGCCATCCATTTTACGCATAACGATACGATTTGAAATGTTTTGTTTTGCAATTTTGCAATTATCTTACGGCAAAATGTGTATAATGAAAATTATCAAATATTTTGAACTGTCAAAAGAAATCGAGGCGGAATGGTGGTTGAAATGGAATGTCACATTTAAAACTTTTCTCTGGGCTTCAATGCCAGTATCAATAATGTAATTTATAAATGTAAGTCACTGGTGTAACTACTTACCTACCTACTTATAGTGAACCTTAAAAACACTTAAGTTTATTTATCGTGGGCTGAGATATTTCTTATAAAATTATAAAACATATTGTGACAAATGCTGCAATCGCTGCTATTTTACTTATTAACATAACAATATACAACCTGAGTAAACTAAACATAAAATAAATTCTTCATGTCGAATGTGACGTGGCACGTTAGCGACTGCTGATTTGACATCATCATCATCATTTTAGAATTCAAAATTTTGCGTCAACATGAAGGCAAGATCAAATAACAGTTTGGCGAATGCATGAATTCAATGAATAACATAGTAGGTCATAACAACTTACGACTTTTCTCACGCAACGAGGGTAAGATCAAATCATATGAATCTTGCCGTGACGTCAGGGCATGGAGTCATGACGTACAGAAACGCGACCGTTACCTCAGGGAATGGATAAAGTGTGACATGCCGATCTGCGTATTGCCCTCAAGCATTTTAGCCAGATTTTTAAAAGCAATGACGTACAGATGTCGAGGCAAAGTAAGTTGAATTTAATGTAACATTTATTAATGCGTCTACTAAAATACCTTATATTATATGTATGTTATTATTATTTTTAGGCCACGCCCCGTTGCCACCCAGACTGCAAATCAAAAGTGGTGCTGGATAGTATTTGCAATTCTTGCCATGCAATCAAGGAATGTTTAAAAAATGAAGAGGAATTTGATAAGTACTTTGATGATGTAAGTGTCATAAACCATAAGATATGAACATTAAATCATTCAATTTATTTTAAAACAGGTGTAAAAATTGTTTTCAGGAGGAATTTGAAACGAGCCACTGGCCATGTGAAAGATGTTTAGAAGCCCTCAAAAGCATCAAAATGTTTTGGAAAATAATTGTAGAAAAGATATTTAATATTACCCTTCCAAAAAACGATGAGAAAGTCCCTTCAGAATGTTGCTTTACCGACAGTGTACAATCTGTGGCCAAAGCTTGGCAAACTGATATACTACAACAAGCAATGTATGTGAAAAATTACTCGCCTTGCTATCTTCCCCTTCCCTGCTGGAAGAAAAGAGTAAAATCAGAAATTGCCCCGTGTAATCTTACACCCTGTGGATACAATGACCTTCATACTCGCAGCTGTGCTAGAGTTGTAAGTAAGCCAGACTGTAGGACTTACAAATGTTGTAAAAACAAGTCCACTGATACTGATTGCTTATCAAATCCCATGGTGTGCAGATCTAAGAAGACATGTCCAGCCCCTTGTTGTCAAAAACGAAATAAGTACTGCGCAGCAAAAGTTAGGGTGGTAAATACGGCATGTGAATGCAAAAAAGAAATCGAAGAACTAGCTGCTTATAAAACGAATTTAGAGTTTTTACAAGAGAAGACAAATTGTCAAAGAAAAGAAATAGAGAGACTGAAAAGAGAAAATAGCTCGCTAAAGATTGAGCTACAAAACGTGTACAAAAATTCCTCATGGAAATCATCATTCCACGCATCTTCAAAATGTTCAAGTAATCACAATACCATGGCTTTATTACCAAAACCGTTTGAATGTTACGCTGAAGAAAATACAAATACAAACCAAGTAAATTCGGAAATGATTATTACAATGAAAAATTGTAAAAATGAGGTACGTAATTACACAAGGAATGGTACGCCACGTATTTATTATTGGTTGGAAAACATTTCTTGTTGCTAAATATTTATCGTTTACTGTACAGGCATTTAGACATATTTCCCTACTGCAAGTTCTTCATAAAACGAATGATCCTGTTATTAAAGACCAAAATCTGGATTGCGCATGTGGTAAAAGGAAGGAAGATCCTATTGAACTGTTAACTAAAGGTAGGATATTAATAGCAAAGTGATATCACTAGGTATATACCTAACAATGATGCTTTGTTCTATTGTTGCTAATTTTATATTGGTATTTTAATATTTTCAGTTCAAAATACTGTCGGTGCTATAGTTAAACGAGAAATGGATACGATAGCTAATAAGAAAAAACAATGTGGAATGAGATCAGATATAGATGCTACCTTTCATAAATTGAATCCTAGTAGATCTGCACCTTCATGTTCAACATTATCAGTATGCAGTACTGACTCACATCACGTAAGATTTTTTTCTGTATCTATAAACATAGTGAAAAAGCTATAAACTGCAATTGTTTTTTTATGGGATAAGCAGTTGGCACCGCCCTTGGACATTTGAAATACCAGAGGAGTTACGAGTGTGTTGCTGACCTTTTGGGGGCTTGGGATTGGAGGATTAGAGGATTAGGGATGTGGTAATTGCACCTCCGGGAACCTCACTAATATGTCGAAACAGAACGCAAGCATTGTTTTACGTCAGTTTTCTGTGAGGCTGTGGTATCTCTCCGGTCGAATGGGCACATTCATGCCGAAGCATAGCTCTGTCCTATACTTAAATTTATAAACACTTATTCTTTTTTTCAGGTCTGGAGAAAAGGCAGAAATGAAAATGCTAGAGATGGTGATGACGACAAAAATTGTATTTGTATGTATGTATGTCATAAGTCCCGTAATAAAATGTGTTAGTTCGAAGTTTGGTTTTTGAATTGCGACATTATATTTAGGACTCTGTCGTAAATTAGTTCTGTTGCATTTATTGCGAAAACGAAGTCTAGATGGTTGAATTTTGCAAGCGGTACTCTGAAAGTTCCAACGACTGATGTGATTTTTGCAGCTAACTTTTTAACGTCTTTTGGTGTTGATAGCCAATCGTTGTCAGCATAATGCAAAAATACTGGAGATTTTATAGCTTCTAAGTTGTAAGCGGGCGGTTTGAAAGTCCCATAAATCCGTTTGTTGGTGAGCCAACCATGGTCGAATTGTACGAATTTGTTTGATTTGTACAGTTGGCCAAAATGTATGAGTTGTCTCGTCGATGCCCCTGCTGGCGTGTGGCCCATTACTACGGGTAGCATCGTCTGTAAGAAAGGAAATTGAATGAATACGCACTTTTATTACGAGCTATATTAACTTTTATGATGATAAAAATAACATAGGAACAGTCTTTCATCCCCCTGTACTTATAGAGTCTACCGTTTACTGCAGATGAGAACATTTTAAAGGTTTAACAGAGAATACTTACGGTATTTAATTGATCTGCGTTAAATCCACAAATGAGAAATAAAATGTTTGTACAAATGGATTGTGTTATGGCTTCCTCTAGGCACAATTTTTGTCCAGCTAGCTCATTTATCTTTCCATTCGGTAGGATCTCATTAGTTCCTAGTATTTTAAGTATGATCTGAAATAAAATGTTTTATACAAATAAATAAGCATTTAATCAAGCATGGTGATACTTAAAAATAAAATCCTCTCAGTTTAACGATTTGGTCTTGGTAATATAATAGTTTTAGATAATAGACCGATTTTCATGTTGTCTTTTGGATTTCTATAAAACTTTAGCTCATAGACTTACCTCAAGAGAATTTGTGAAAGGCGCAATAGCTTTGATGAGAGGACTTTTGATATTTCCTATGTATGCTACGGGTGCTAAGGCTTGCATTGCAGCAACTTTTTCATTATATTCAGGCCTTGTAGACATGAGGACCCAAAATACAGTTGTGCCTTGAGAGAAACCTATATACTGGATCTTAGGAACCTTGGTCTCTTTAAGAACATAGTCTATCATTGCCGGAAGATCATAATAGCCTATTTCATGCCAACTAAACTTCCAAAACGCAGAAGATGTAGGTTTTAAAGAAGTGTGCCTTCTAGAATAAGTGTTCCCTCGTGCGTTACCCATCCATACATCATAGCCAGCATCGGCTAAGATATAAGCTGAAACAAAAAAAAAATACAATAAGTGGAGAGATACTGGCAGGTATTCCAAGACGTTTTTTTCTTAGAAAACATTAAAATGCTTTATTATTTTTTCTCAATAAAATTAATATGGTTTTTACAATAAAAAAGTCCATACCAAGGCCACGGCCAGGAGTCATGAGCACCCATTCAGCAGAGGAAGACAACAAACCGTGCTGAAGAAATACCACCGGGGCATTCTCTTTACTGCTTGGTATGCGATGCATCTCCAGTATATACTTATCTTCTGTATACACCCGATGAATTTCACAGTTGTATCCATATTTCCGTATCAGGGAGAACTATGGAGGAAACAGTGAGTCAACGCAAATAAAGACCAGACGATTGTCTAGAGCTGCCAAATTGCTGTGAAAGTTTATTGAACGTGAGTCATCCCTATGAGTTAAAAACAAAAGTTTCTTTTAGCTGTGGTTATTGTAAAATGATTAGTTAGGACCTCATAGTCATGGAATAAGGAAGTGTCCTTTTAATTTTATTACCTAGGACATAATGGTCATCTATGATCATTCACTCAATAGTGATGATATTGTCGCCTACAAGTTTTGATAGGTGTGACCATTTGTTTGCGAAATCTAATTATATAATAATAATAAACAGAAAGCAGTTATACTCAACACATGCAACAGAAAGCAGTTATACTCAACACATGCAGAATAGTCCGAAAATTCTTATCAATAGATTAGATTAGATCATCACAAGTATCACCCCCAAAGTTGCTTTGACCAAAAGTCCGCAACTATGGTGTAGTTCCCCAGAAATGGGTGAGGTTTTAACCTAAAATACAAGTATAATAATAATAATAAGCCCGCAGGGCACCTTGAGGCGAGGTGACGGGCATTAGCGATCCCGCGGGCTACCATCATCCCGAGTGCTCCAGGGAGAAGTCACCGTTCCTTCTTCTCCGGCTTGCCTTAATTGGCTGGCTGGAGTGAAAGATGACAAGGAACAGGTCTCCCACCTCTGGCTTGCCTTCACTGGCCGGCCAGAGTGGAGTCGCGAGAGCAGTGATCCTGCTCGGAGGGTAAGAAACTATTCGTAATTCGCGAGTGGGCCAGGGATGCAGGAGGCTTCGGCTGGAGCAGATGATCTGAGTAGAAAGCGGTGGCAGTTTCTTAACCCTTCAGCCACTCACATTCTCGTTGCCCCTCTGTTGCTATATCTAGCAACCATTCCCGGGGCCCGGTCAGTGAGTTGGCGAGTCTCCGCCTGCCATTTTTACGTGTAAAAATTACATTGTTTCGGCAGGTGCCATAGTCATCCATAGTTCCCAATTTACCAGTCCACAGCAACCCATCCATAGCCCTACCTTTTTTTTTCCATTATTCACAATAGTCCTACACTAACCGGGGACTGTCCTTGGGTGCATTTCCATAGTGCATACAGGGATAGTCGCCGGTTTGTGTGTCCATTATATTTATATTAAAGTTGTCTAAAGGGCCTCTGTGCAGTTGGCTTCGGCCCCTCGTACGCCTTCCAAATGACCGGGACCCTGTGGTCCCGTGAATGGTAAAGACATACATAATAATAATAATAATAACCCCACCGACGTATCTCTACGTTGTCGACGTGGTGGGGCTTAAGGGCTCGGATCCCTAGTCTTATCTTGACTAGGGTAGGAGCCCGACTAAAAGAGATACAACCCAAGCCAAGGTTGCATACGCTGAGGGCTGCGTGGCTAAGGGGGTGCTTAGTCGAGAGTATGCCAACTCTGGAGACCAGGGGAACTCCAGTTTTATTTACCCTTGCCACAGTGAACGCAGGGCTCTGCTGTGGTCGACCTGTTTAGTCCCTAGCTACTCGTGGGAATAAAAATGATAACAAGATCGAAAATAAAAAATACAATGCAGGCAAATGTGCCTCCAACAGATGTTGACACATCTACGGTGTCATTGTCATCCTCTCCGAGGTCCATTTTTTCATCAACTACACCATCATCACTCTCTATCACATCACGATCATTAAGATCATCGATTTCATCAACAAGGTCAGTGGACGTTGTAACGGAAGCTGCTCCAGCTAAAAATCCGTCACCCGCTGCTGACTCTAAACATACGCGAAAAAAATGGAGTAAAGAAATGAACGAATTCATTTGGCGTACATACCTCATCATCACAAATTTAGAGACTGACACTAATGCTTATTTGAACACATTACACATAAAATTCACCCATCAATTCCCAGATATGGTAGTCTCCAAACAAAGAATTGGAGATCAAAGAAGGGCTATTATTAACAATAAGCTATTATCAACTACAGAACTTGATGCCATCAGACGAGAAGTAAGAAATTATCTACAAACACAGAATGGTACCATACATCAAGAAAGCAATCAATCACAACAACACCTAACAATGTCACAGACCGACCCACTAACACACACACAGTCACACACAAAAACACGAATGAAGTGGTCCAACGAACTCAACGAAACACTAATTAAATGTTACTTTGAAGTTACAAGAATGGAAACGGATTTGACTATGTGGAGAAAAAATCTGAAGGAGAAATTTGTTGAATATTACCCACACTTGTCACACCTCTCAGAACAGCGTATATCAGACCAGAAAAGAGTAATTATGAACAATAAAATGATATCAGATACTCGTTTACAGATATTAAAATTAGCCATAGCACAAAAGTTAGGTGAAATAGTAAGTCCGAGTTCATACCAAAATACGAGTAATACAAATTCAGAATCACAAATACACATAGAAAACATATACACACAACCAACATATTTAGGCGCGGATCAAATAAATAATGGAGAAGAGCTAAATGATAATAATGATATAAATCAACAACCTACACTTATTAATACTCACACTGAAACATACGAAAGGAATTCTGAAATAGATGAACAATTTACACAAGCTTTGCAATTTTTCAATGAGACACATCCAACTAATAGGTGCTACATACCTAAACAAAGAACGTCAAAAAGTTTTGCAAAAATAGTAGAGTACATTAATAAAGTGATATTACCAGAACATGTTAATATAAATACCGATTTTAATCAACTGCAAACTATTATATACAGCGCTGCGTGGACGGCTGCGAAAGCTAATGGGAGTAGAGTTAATCTAGCAAATGCTGAAACTCAAATTAATCCACAGAAAGACTACAAACCCAAATGGCAAAAAAGACTAGAACGTAAAATAGACACGATTAGAGCTAAAATAGGAAGATTGACATACTACATACAGGGCCATAGAAGTAGGAAATTGGAAAAGGAAGTTAGCAGGATACTTAGAGATTACAGAACACATACCACACATGAAGAACCCAATACACAACTTACACATTTTTTAGATACACTCAAACAGAAACTAGCAGTTTATAATAGTCGGCTAGGCAGATACAGTAAATGCACACTACGGAAAACACAAAATAATAAATTTAAAAATAACGAAAAACTATTTTACCGTACACTAAAAACCTCAACATCTAACAACACAACATCAAATAATACATCGCAAACATCATTTCCTACGGGAGAAAGTTTGCAACAATTTTGGGCAGGAATATGGCAAAATCCGGTTTGTCATAATGATGAAGCAGGGTGGATAATGGACGAAATAAGTAACCATAACCATATCCAGCAAATGCAATTTGAACAAGTAGATGTTGAGACATTTCACAATGCTCTCAAAAAGGCTCACAACTGGAAAGCACCAGGTTCTGATCATATTCACAATTACTGGTACAAGAAATTCACAACTGTTCACCCACACCTATATAACCACATCAACGATTTTATTAAAGACCCTTCTAACATTCCCTTATACATTACCGAAGGCATCACCTACATGCTGCCAAAAGACCCAAACGACACAATCAACCCCGCCAAATATAGACCTATAACCTGCTTGCAAACAATTTACAAAATAATAACGTCTTGCGTAGCCAATATTATTTATAAACACATAGAAAGCCAAAACATTCTGACAGAAGAACAAAAAGGATGCAGAAAATTTAGTCAGGGATGCAAAGAGCAATTAGTTATAGATTCGGTTATTCTCAAAGATGTGCAGCGACATAAGAAAGACCTATGTACAATGTATGTCGACTATAAAAAAGCATACGACTCTGTCCCTCACTCATGGCTGCTTCACATTTTAAACATTTATAAAATACACCCACACATCACACACTTTTTGGAAAATATAATTAAGACATGGCAAACCCGACTTCACTTGAATACACCAATAGGAACAGTACACACAGAACACATAAAGATTCAGCGCGGTATCTTCCAAGGAGACTCACTTAGTCCTTTATGGTTCTGTCTAGCTTTAAATCCACTTTCGAATAAATTGAATTCCTTGGAACCCGGATTTCAACTTAAATATAGGGAAACGGGGACTACCACGACTATACAGACCGACCACGAAAATTGTAAAATAAATCATTTACTTTATATGGATGACATAAAACTATATGCGTCTACCCCGGAAGATCTACACCGACTAGCAGACACCACAGAAATATTTTCAAATGATATTGTAATGGATTTTGGAATAGATAAATGCAAGATTAACTCAGTCAAATCAGGAAAAACTTACACTCATTCATATCAACTACAGTCAGGTGAAAATATTGATTCTTTAGATGAAAACGGCACATACAAATATTTAGGTTACATACAAGCGAAACAAATCCTACATACACAAATTAAAGCCCAATTAACCAAGCAGTTCAAACATAGATTAAAAGTAATATGCAACACTCAGCTAAATTCCCGAAACACAATTAAAGCCATAAACACATATGCTATACCGATCCTTACGTATTCCTTTGGCATTATAAACTGGTCCAAAACCGGGCTCCAAAATCTACAGCGCAGTATCAATACCACACTTACAAAACACAGGAGACATCACCCGCGTTCATGCCTACAAAGACTCACTCTGCCAAGAAGTGATGGCGGAAGAGGCATTATAGATATTACCAACTTGCATAATAAACAGATTAATACCTTAAGATCCTACTTTTACAATAAAAGCTCTGTCTCCACTTTATATAATGCAATAGTTCAATGTGATAAAAAACTAACACCCTTAAATATGGCTGATCAAGCAACACAGAACAACGAAAAACTGACTGACCGACAAACTAAAATTTCTGAATGGGCCCAAAAGTCATTACATGGGAGACACTACCACGACCTTAGCCAACCTAACGTCGATAAAGTTGCATCGAACGAATGGTTAAGGCGTGGTGAATTGTTTCCCGAGACTGAAGGGTTCATGATCGCGATTCAGGACCAGGTAATAGAGACACGCAATTACCAGAAGCACATCATGCATCTCCCATTAACAACTGATACCTGCAGGCGATGTAATAGTGCATCGGAAACCATTCAGCATATTACAGGCGCTTGCAAATCCATAGTACAAACCGATTATAAGCACAGGCATGACCAAGTAGCAAATATCATCCACCAAAAAATGGCTATAAAATATAATCTAATTTCTACCCCGCCAGTACCATACTATAAATATCAACCGGAAACTGTGCTTGAAAACTCATCCCATAAATTATACTTTGATCGAGCCATCCTCACTGACAAAACCACTCATTACAATAGACCAGACATTACCCTCATTGACAAAACTAACAAAACTGCACAAATCATAGACATAGCCATACCAAACACCCACAACCTACAAAATACAATAGCCGAAAAACTTTCTAAGTATACGGACCTCAAAATTGAAATAGCCAGAATGTGGCGACTCAATAGTGTCACTATCATCCCCATAGTACTTTCAACAACAGGTGTGATCCCAAAACAACTCCATAATTCAATAAAATCTCTAGATCTCCCGCCTTACACATACCAAAGTCTACAAAAAGCTGCTATTTTAAATACGTGCCATATAGTTAGAAAGTTTCTGAATGAAACAGATATTTCGTACAACCACACCCAAAATTGAGACAACTGAGTGGGTTAGCACTTGGCTTCGGCCCGTACTAACCCTCAAACCCGGCCTTGTAGCCGAGCTAAGATAAAGAAACAAACAAATAATAATAAATGTTTATTAACCATAATTTGTACAGTAACTCTTATATATAAAATTAATCGTTACAACAATTGACATTATCCTTCATCTCAGATACTCAGTCCTACTTAATATCACTGAACTTTTATTTTGCTGATTTTGCAAATATTCATCCAACAATGGTGTAATAATGAAAGAGTTTTAAACGAAACGGAAAAAAGGTGATAGGTGGAGAGCTAGAGACAATGGTGATCTACTTACCGTGTCCAAACGTGCATCATCTAGTATTTCATTCGACGTATATTCTAAATGAGGACTATACAACTCATTGTATTCAACCGCATGAATTATTTCACAAAAATATACCAAAGCCAACGCAAACACAATTTTAGGTGAACAAAACATATTTTTAAATTAAAGTATTTCGTAACAAGTGAACTAATTTTATCAGAATCTAATTTATAGTAAGTTAGGAGTCATCAAATGTTATTGATAGACTGTCGAGTAAACTGAAGACAATAGTTTCATAAGGGCTAGATTATTTGATTAGCCCAGATAAGCCCATTTTCAGGGCAATGCTCGTATATTGTTTGGTGACCTACTTACTAATTATTTCCTTAAGTCTTCGAAGAAACAAATATGATTTTATCGGCAATTCAAATATTGGATTAGTGTTGTTGATTTTGTTTAACTACTGTTTATAGTTATCGACACCTGTTAGGCTTCTGATTGCTAATAATACAAATAGATTTGAATTGAATGAACCTGGAAATGTGTCGGGTTCAGGTATATGGCGGTAGGTTCACCCCCTATTATGGGACTTTTATTGGACACTCGCAACACCAGTGTCGTTACAATACAACATTGCCGGCTTTTGATGGGGGGAGGGGGGTGGTTGTGGCCTCCAGTGACCTCACTCACGTGCCGTGACACGGCGTAACACAGCTTCTATGAGACAGTTATAAAGTTGATATTGATTACTATTAATCTGCTGTTAACTTAATGACTGCATGGTTTGCGCGGTGGTTGGGCTACTGCCTGCCGCGCAACGTGTCGCCGGTTCGATTCCCGCGCGGAACAACTCTTTGTTGATCCACAGATTGTTGTTACGGGTCTGGGTATCATGTGTGTGTGAACTTGTATGTTTGTAAACGCACCCACGATACAGGAGAAAATCATAGTGTGGAGCAAAGTTTAAAAAAAATCTTAAATACAAAACACCATCACTCGATCAACACCTGTTTGAAAGTAATTTAACGTATTTTATATAGGTTTCCGATAAACTGATAAAATATTTTGAAATGCATTTAAGAATAGGTATCTACTTATTAACTGTCTGGTCTAGTAACCGAGGATCAAGGGCTATGATAATTGTATTGATAAATTAGTTGTAACACTACGAGCTTATCGTGTAACAACTGACAAAATAATCGTAGTATCTGAATAAATATTTCTTCACAAGTTAATTCAGGTTAAGTATGCAGACTATAGGTACAGTGTGCACCTACTTATGTCTAAAAATGTTAATTGATTAAGTATATGTGAAAGAGAAGTAAATCTTCACCCTTAGCACGGTAATAATATCATAGAGTATTACAACTTCATACAAATGGACGAAATGCGAGCTATACGCGCTTTGATGTCGGGGTGAACTCCGCAGTGATGAACGGACGGTGTGTTGTTTTTTTAAGAAAAACCCGCGTGGTTTTTGTATAAAATTTTATTTTTCTCTAAAAACCAGTTCGAGCACATATTTAATATGACAAGAAAATATTGTGCTGTTTTTGGTTGTATTTGTTTTTTGCAAATTTTTTCGGTCTCAAATTTTAAAGCCCAATTTTTTTTAAACAAAAACATAAAAAGTATTAAATGTAGGTACCAATCAAAAAACAACACGCATTTTCATTCAACACTTTCTATCCAATATTCAAAGTATTTTATTAGTTTAGGTAGGTAATACTTATAAAAAAAGGATATTTACAATCACAAAACGAAATAGAAACAGAAATTAGGCAAATTTAATTAAAATGCTGGAGACCAGCAGCCCTAACGGATGTTTACGCACCTCATGCGGCTTAGTAACAATACTGTATGATAATAATATTACCGTGCCCTTAGGTTCTACAGAGCATGAGAGTATGGGACTGATCATATCTACAATCAAATTACTTATTACATACTGCCTAACTACCTAACAAAGTACCTGGGTAATGCCCCAAAACTGTATTAAGGGGCCGTTCAAGTATTACGTAAGCACCAAGGGGGGGTGGGGGGGTCTTTGTTTTGCTTATTTTGGATGACATGGGGGGTGGGGGGGTCTAGATGATGATTACGTCATCGTTAGTTATTCAAGTTTTTTCGGGGATTCCCGCAAATAATACATATGCGTAGACACTCGCTTTGAGAACTGATTAGGAGAATTACCGCGCATTAGGGAAATTACCGTGCGCTATTCACTTGTCTAATAATTCGCTCTCGTGCCGGCCAGCTGCAAGTGCGCATCTATCAGTATTGTTTTGTTTGGATTCTAAACGTATTGTAAGCATTGAAATTTATCATTTGTGTTTATGTTGATGCAATTAGCCAAAGTTTAACGTTTTAATTATTTAAATTTAAATATCTTATTAGAATGTCATATCATATAGACAAATCCAAGTTATACCAAAAACTGTTCGAAAGTTTTAAAAAATCTCATACTGGGACAAAATCGGATGAAAATGAGCAGACTCACAACACTGAGCAGCAATCCAATGTCATCGATAACTTAGAATCATGGATTCAGGTTTCATGGACTGAAGACTGTTAATGTGTTCCGAAAATATTCTTTATGTTAGTTATGTTCTTTATTTCTGATTATATTTTTTGTCATTTACTCTATGTGTATCAGTTAAACCTAATATTTCCATGAATTTTCCTATTTTAAAAATAACAATATAAAAAAATATTTATTACTAAAAATGTTTACGTAAGCATAGGAGGAGGGAGTAAGTGCTTTGCTTATTTTTTATGACAAGGGGGGCGGGGGGGTAAAAATGGTAAGAAATCTGCTTACGTAATACTTGAACGGCCCCTAATGTGAAATATGTAATTAAGTACCTAGGTAGGTACTTCATACTTGTAGTTAGCTTAGTAGTACCTATACTCGGAATTTTAATTCGATTCCAGATTTGACAATTTCAGTGTGGCAACGTTATGACAAGTACTAAATAGTGACGTTGCGAAATTATTCGATATGGAAATGAAATATTTCTGGATCGATTCTTCTCGTTTATAATAATTATAATTTTACTCTCGTGAGCTAAGTTTATCAGGAAATTAAATATTTCTGAACCGATAATTTAGTTTTGACGATTAATTAACGATCTGAGGCGTTTCTTTTATAATTGTGTGTGAAATAAATAAAAAAATGTAATCATGAAGGAACATGACAAATAAAACAGATAGATGTATTATGGTAATAAGTTATTTTATAAATTGTCGCCGTCATCGCTATCGCTATCCTGTCACTTTCTGTAACATTTATTATAAAACACACACACTGATTGTTTATCGATTTTTGTGTGCATCACTACACTATTATATGTGGTATCATTATTTCACAAAATGACAGTAGCTATTGTCAAATCTGGAATCTAATTAAAATTCTGACTATAGGTACACACTGAAGTCGTAAGTAATGTTTATAGGTTAAGTAGGCACTCATACTTACCTCAACATTACGTAATAAGAATAAATATTTAAAATTCTTAATGCCACTTCCACATTGTAGAAACAATGATGATTTAACTATAAATACTTAATCAAAACTTTATAGTTTTGGAAAACTAGGTATTTTTTTTAAGGGGGGAAAATCATCGAATGACTGCTCCCGCCTGGGTGAGGCGGAAGGGAGTGTCAGACTCTTATTGACTAAAAACCACCCCGTTCCTTCTCCTGCACGTCGAGCCGGAGCCCCGGTTACCCGTTAGGTTCTCCGTGACTGTTAGGTTCTCCGCGACACAAAAAAACTAGGTATAGAAATATTATTAAAACTTTTTTGAAAGGCATAACGTTTACCGCCGTTTAGTATTATTTTTATTTTAATGATAGAAGGACCTTCGGCTATCAGTCTTTTAGCACGAGTTTAAGAAATCTATTTATGTTTTTATTTAAATTGATAACTAAAAACATAATTGATAATTAAAAGTACGAGGATAAATTATTGAAAAATAGTCAATTTCATAACTTTTAAGATTAATAATGTTGGTACTGTTGTAGTTTATGCCTAGTTTGTTACTCTGTGGTCTGTTATAGAGAGAAGGCAGTCTGTGGTATTGTTTTCTGTCAATCAAGCTGATTTTGCGTCGTTTGTCGTTTCGTATCATTTTATTATTTATTTTGCTTTGTTAGAATACTATAATCCAATTTCCTTATGTTAACTTAGTGGCACATTATGGCGAATCAAGAAATAAGTTTAAAATGGAACGGGTATCAGAGCAATATTTTGTTCAACGTAAAAGAATTATTCAAAGACGAGTGCTTGTCGGATGTTACTTTGGTCTCAGAGGGTCATAGTTTTAAGGCTCATAAAGTAATATTGTCAGCGAATAGTTCAGTTTTTAGGACAATATTTCAGGTAAGTTAATCAAGTGTTCATAGATTGCCTTTACATGGCAGTCCAACGCAGTTTTAGTCTCATACACCCACACGTTTTTTTCGTAGCAAAACCCCCACAAGGATCCAATTATAGTGCTTCATGACATCAGTACGGCCTCTCTGCGCACGCTGCTGACGTTTATGTACAACGGGGAGGTGAATGTGACTGAGGAATTCTTGCCAATACTCTTGAAGACTGCAGAAACATTGAGAATCTGTGGTCTGTCTACTGGCAGTGAGACTTCACGCGAAGAGGATGTAAGTTGGCGTTTTGTAAACTTATTTCATTTAATAATTTGCTCAAAATATTTATTGTTAGTTATCAGAATTGTGTAATCCGTTTAGACTTAAAGTTATAACTCTTACAAGAATATTTTTTTATCTAAATTATATTCACTTTACAGAGAACTCCTGGGGGTACTGTGCCAAAAAAACGTAAAAAAAGCGAGCATGAAGACAGTAGCAGTAAATGTAAGAAGTGTGTCTATGCACAGGGCAAACAAGAGGCTGCATCAAATGTAAGATACCATAAATAATTAACACTTAACATGGTTATATCCTGGTTATTTCTCAAGCACTTATTGAGGTTGGAACTAAGTTCGAATTCAGCAGGTTGTCTGTATTGAACACTCCTGGAAAGCTGAACAAAAGAAATTGTTTTGTCCAGCATATGTAACATGTAACGGGTTTGATTCCCACACGGAGCAATTCTTTGTGTGATTCACAAATTGTTGTATCGGGTCTGGGTGTCATGTGCATGTGAATTTGTAAACGCACCCACGACACAGGAGAAAATCCTATTGTGGGGCAACATTCTTGAGAAAATATAAAAAACAAATGAAAAATTGTTTTAAAATCGTAATTATCTATTACCATTGCAGAATTTAGTGCCAAAGCTAGAACCAGTGGAATCGCCGTTGACTGATTGTTCAGGAGAAAATACTAATGATACGGACATAGCCGTGCTCGATGATGTTGTTGAGAAAAAGCAAAATGTAAGTATTTCAGAATAGTTGAGAAATACTATCAACATAATTTAGTCTTATGTGATAATTCTATATTATTATGTCTAGAATGAACTCGAAGTACCTATACCAAATAAGTAGATTAAATTGTTGGATACACATTGTAATGTGTAATTTATAACATAACATTACATCACGCCTTTTATCACCGAAGGGGTAGGCAGAGGTGGACATTATGCCACTGTACAATGTAACACCCACTTTTCACTATATATGTTATGAGTCCCATGTAATAGGGGGTGAGCCTATTGCCATAAACCAGGCACAATTCCAGAATCCATGCTACTACTGTGAATTTTTTGAAAAACCCAGTAATACTTTGCTCTACTCGGGAATCGAACCCGAAACCCCTTGTCCGGCAGTCGCACTTGCGGCCACCCCGCCAATGAGGCAGTGATGTGTAATTTATAATTTACACATCACTGCCTCATTGATACTTATTATAAAAGATATTTATACTGAGATTTATTATAAAAGCGTATATACTACAATAAATATGTATTAATATTTATTATAAAAGCGAAAGTTTGTGTGTTTCTGTCTATGTAACAAACTCATTTTCGTCAAAACGACTGAAAGGATCAGGTTGAAATTTGGAACAGGGATATATCCCTGTTCCAAATTTTACCTTCATATTACCTTAATATATATATTAAGGTTAGAGAGGAAAACATAGTCAGATTTTAGTACTACTGTCTGTAGACTGCCTCGTTGGCCGAGTGGTCGCAAGTGCGACTGCCGGGCAAGGGGTCTCGGGTTCGATTCCCGGGTCGGGCAAAGTATTACTGGGTTTTAAAAAAAATCTCAGTAGTAGCACGGAGTCTGGAATTGTGAAAAGTGGGTGTTACATTGTACAGTGCCATAATGTGCACCTCTGCCTACCCCTTCGGGGATAAAAGGCGTGATGTTATGTTATGTTGTTATGTTATTTTAGTACTAAAATTGATCTGATTACCGTTAAATACATTTTTTGTTTGTTAGTATTAAACAATACCCTGATTGTGTGTAATATTTATTTTCAGAAATCAGGAGCCCAGTCAAAGAAGAGAAAGCGGGACTCGGATAACAATAATAAATGCAAAAAGTGTGTGCCAGTTGATTCGGAAACCGTACACAAGATTAGCTCTGATAGCGGAAAACAATCTGTAAGTGTACTTTTTTTATTAGTTCATATTATTATGTAATATTTTTTTTTTTATACTTTTACACTAGGATTTTCTTGTGTCCTTGTCTTGGGAGCGTTTACAAACATAAGTTCACATACACATAACACCCAGACCCGGAATAACAATCTGTGGATCACACAGAGTTGTTCCGTGCGGGAATTAAACCCGCGACACCTTTCGCGGCAGTCAGTTGCCCAAACACCGCGCCAACTGTGCAGTCAAATCTTAAAATAAGATTAAATTTGTTTTGACTGCATGGTTAAAGGTTGGTTTATTTGTTATGTTATGGGTTTTACAACTGGGTGTAGGGCTTTTTTTATGCGCGAGAGATTTTATGAGCGATGATGCGGTATATACTTTTGGCATGTATGAGGCACATTTTCTTTTAAGTACGGTGCCCCACACTACATTTATCTCCTGTGTCCTGGGTGCGTTTACAATCGTACAAGTTTATAAACACATGATACCCAGACCCGAAACAACAATCAAAACTAATATACATACATTGTTTACTTGTCAAAGCAGTTAAATAATATTGACTGAAAAGAAGAACTAAGTAAGTTTTATATCAAATGTAAAATAAATATATTTCTTACAGAATATTGTACTAAAAATTGAACCAGTGGAATCCATGTTAACGGAATATTCTGGGGACAACACAAACGATACGGAAATAGCTTTAATAGAAGATACAACGGAGAAGAAACTTACCGTAGAAAACTGTCTCAATAAGAAAGCACATAATGTGAGTGACCGAATTGATAAAATCGAAGTGAGTAGTACACAGCCATGTTTGAATGAGAAACTTAATAACGGAGATGCATCGGAAGAAATAATTGAGATTGACAAAGAAGTTGAGACCGTACTGCAAAGCGGAACGAGGATTGAATCACTCAGTATAAAAACGGAGAACCTGAATGTGGTGTCTACTGATTGTAAAGGTATTATGTTTGTTATTTTTAATTAATAAAATGTTGTTTTGAGAGTGATGTCGTTGGTAAATAATTTTCTAGTTTGATTTGGATTACATACAAACATAACTTATTATGTTGCTAACTGTTTATGTGGTTTGCTCAAGTGCTATCTTTTGGCTGTTCCAGTGAAAATTGCAATGTTTTCTTCCATGTAACCAATCGCCCGAGAATTATTAATATTTTTATTTAGTAAAATATACAGAGAAAATAAACAAGTGCATAACTTTTTTTATTTAGCAACATGTTTTGGTATCTTTGTGTATACAAGGTGTAGATTTGAAACCATGACAATGTGTATAACTTTTATCACAACTTCTATCTACAAATAATATAAACTTAAATAAAATAAATATTAACTATTACTGAATTACAGATCCATCATTCCCTTGCCCGTTTTGTCCTCGAGTGTACAACAGTTGGGGTTACCGACGAAGACATGTCAAGTCCAGGCATGTTACTAACAGGTTAATAGTTTTTCCTTTTATATTTACTTAACATAACGTCTCGCCTTTTATTATTAATACTCGACGGGGTAGGCGGAGTGTACATGCACAATAAAACAATATTTTTTTATTTTTTGTTATAGTAACAATGTTACCTAATAGGGGACGGGGAAGAGTCTATTGCCATACACCCATCACAATTTCAGACTCCTCAAAGGAAATAATCCTTCAATACTTAATAATTATCTAATACTTTATCTAACCCGGAAATTGAATATGAGACTCCTTGGTTGGCAATTGTATCCTATCTAGTCTGTAATAGTAATTATTTCACTTCCAGGCTCTCATGCAAGTGGTGTATATCAGTGCTGCCATCTACAGGAGCTTGGTACACCCACGCAACTCGCACCCATGGAGTGCCACACGAGGAGGCACGGAACTCTTTGGTTGTGATGGTAGAAGCTCATGCTGTACTAACTCAAATGAATGAACCAAATGTCACTCAGTTACTCGTTTAAAGAAAGAAAAGATCAAAGATAAATATTGGAAAATTAAGGTATGAAATTCCAGGATTATCTTTGAAAAGAAAAAAGAAATAGTGTATAGGGACTATCGGCAAAGGTTACGGTAGCTCACTTTAAAAAATATTGTGGCAAGCTCGCTATCCACCGCCTTGTTTTCTTTGTGATCGCTCGCGCCGAGTGCATGCGAATATCGCCTAACGATGGTCGACCGCCAACTTTGTCGATTGTACATTGGAAAGGTTTTATAATAGTCTAGTCTAACATTATGTTAGAAAGTCTTCACGAAATAGATTAAGAATTCTGGAATTTTCTTTAAATCGTTCTCCGAATTATAATGAGGTCAGTTTATATACTATTTATGAATCTTTGAATTGTAACAGATAGTTTATCAGTCCCTTATTCTTGGTTTACAATGTTTCATTTTGTTGAACATGTAATGTTAAGCAACGGCTCTCTTTTATAGGACTTGTGAGTCCAACCATTATATTTTTAAACCTTAGGGCTTGTATAAGTTTGTTTTATGTTTAAAGTAATTGAAAGGAGACCGCAATTGGCGCTCTGATTGGCCGGGTCCAATGAATCAACCAAGCAGAACATCGAACGTGTACTCGTTTACTTTAACAGTAAAACAAACTCTACCAAGCGCTCTATTATAGCTCTAGAATAGAGCTGATTGCCTACCGTCAAGTTATCCAGCTGTTAGTGTGTCTATCTACTATATAAAAATAAGTCGGCTTTTCCTTACTGCGCTATAACTCCAGAACGCACGAACCGATTTCCATGGTTTTGCATTCGTTGGAAAGGTCTCGGGCTCTGTGAGGTTTATAGCAAAGGAATATCAGGAAATAATTTTCTCTTCATCTTTTAATTTCCAAACGAAATGTTACATAAAACGAAGCCATCTGGTGGCGAAACAGAGTTCGCCGGGTTTGCTAGTTATTCCATAAAAAAATCCATGTCGCAGATCGTGGTCTGATATTCTACTTCGATATTACATGGATTTGAAACAGAATCATTGTAATAGGGTAGTGCAAATTAAGCGACTGTTCTCTAATTCTACATGAATAGTACCTTTTCATATCCTGTTGGACTAAATCACACCTTATTTTATTAATTTTATGTACGGTTTTAATGATTAGGTAACAAAGCACTCTTTTAATGTTTTGTCTAACCGTTGCAATCGCACCTCAACACTATTATAATAAGTTTTTTTTTTTACTTTTTTATTATACATATATTTTTAACACCTTGTAAAGTTAGGGCATAATGTTTTTAAAGCTCTAACTTACGGCCAGTCAATAATTCCACAACCACATGGTCAGTAATGTGCACTTTTTATTTTTGCACTTATTCTAAGTTATGGAACGTTTGATTTTGAACTTTAAGTGGTATTTCATAAGTCTACTTTTAAGAAGTCTATGTGAAAGGAACCATTTGGGTTTAATTTTGTATTGCATCGTCCATGACGTTTGTAAGATAATAGATAACACTTCGATTCGACGAAGACCACAGATATACATACAACTTGGTCGTTCATTCAGGAAGTATCCTGCAAAAAGTATAACCGTGTATCAACCTTTTTGGTTGTTTTTAGGGTAACTTCGGCTAATAATTAGTTACGTATTTTGGTTATATTTATTAATGAAATTACGTTAAGTATGCTATGATCTCAAATTAATGAAGTCACGGTTTCTAGTAATGTAACCGCCATAAATTAATTGATTTTAATTAATTAAATAAATAAATAACTAAACTATTACATTTCGTATTCTAAGTCAATATAATCCCAGAAAATAATATGAAAATAATGATAATTTAGTTGTTATGGTGATATATCATACTATATTTTTTTGGCTAAGTATATGTAATAAGTTCTAACTACAAGGCATAATTTCATATAAAACTAAAAGCGTCCATATCTTAAATGTTCTTACTGATATCGCTGTTTTAAATACATACATTTGAATAATAATAATAATTCTATATTATACACCAAATTACAATTCAAAGTAGTACCATTGAGTCTTTTTTTAAAATCTTTATTTACTTATATATAAATAAATGTATTATTGGGGTTTTTATCCCTTAAGGATATGCCAACCCCATCGTACCTTATTCTAAAGTGAGCACATGACTTAAATTACAGTTTTACATTAGATACTTATGTATATATCTATGTAGGTACTTTAATTACATTAATTGAACACATTAAGAAAATAACTACTGATTACTCTTGGACAATTTTTATCATTGTGTACAATCAATCGTTTAGCCGCTTGTGAAGTTGGTTGTGCAAGTATACTTTGTATCAGACCCACATCCAGTCTATTAAATTTAAACCATTGAGTCTAAAATGCCGCCTAGTAATCTAACCAATCAGTATCACGACGCACTCGCGCCGTCTGACGGACTATTAAGAAAACTGGTAAGAATTGGGTCAGAAAACCCAGATCGGGCATCTTAACTTCTAGCTACCTCAGAAAATTGTCCATAATGTCCAGTAAAGTGTTGTTATTAATGTTATTAACATTAATAGCGTTATAACTACTATGAGTAACGTCCAAACGGTCAAAATAGCTAACTTTAGATCACAATACTTAAAATTTCTCGAGAACACTTTTGATTTAGCCTACAGATACATAATGCAATAGCGGCTACCATGACAAAAACATTTTTGTCCAATCACTAGCTGTCAAAAATTGAACGTCCAATGATGTGGCATTATCTAATTCCCTATTGGTCGAAGAACGAGAGGACCATATTAGCGACATCTACTGAGCAAAAGTACAGTAGCTTCCATTACTTTTTCTTATAAGGAATATTCTTTTTTATAGGGAACGGGAAAATAAATTACTCAGAGCGATAACAGTATGAAATATTTAATTCAATCAAATATTTTGTACAATCCATTCAACATAACACTTTGACTGATATTTTAAAACTTAAGTGTAAGTTAGAAACATAATAATTAATAAGCAATCAATATTTTTATAACAATTTTCGACGTATTTTTCTAATTCAAAAAATAGTTTTTAAGTCAATTATTAATATTCGGCAATAACTTTAGGATGTGATTTCTAGAGATATATATTATATAAAAAATTCAGAAAAATATACGATTTAAAATGCGTGGCCTAAATTATAATGAGGAAAATTATATATGGAAAAGATTAAAGTGAATTACGAAAGAAACGTATATTTTGGTACTTTATTGTAGGAATTATATTTTTTCCAAGTGATTTTTAAATGTATGGCAGTAGTTTGTGGTGGTCTAACATTATCATTATTATAATATTGTAAAGCATACAGACCTACTTTGAAAAGAAGCTGGTTAATCTTCTTTCAAATGAACCTCTTTGGTATCAATACTTTTTATTCTAAAGAATTTTTAAATAAAGAACTGTCAAAAAAAAAAACTAAATATTTATTCATTGCTCAATACATGACTGGATGCGATGCTCTCGAGTTTCATTTGTTTAGAAATAAAAATGAAATCTTAAGTTATATTTTACTTTCTTGTAAATTAAGCTCAGCTTAGATTATTTCTGTAGAAATCTGGTAGTTAAAAATAACCTAAAATGAATGTTACTACCGTAAATCCAGATTTCGGACAATTCTAATTTGAATTGATGTTATCTAAATAGGCAACACTATTATTTTCGGATATCTCGCTATGCATCTCTATTAGCTGAAAAAATGAACTGAAATAATATAAACTGGGTTTAAAATCTATAGGCTGTTATTATATTTTGTAATCTACATTGGAGTTTTATAGGAACATATCACACTGTACAAATTATTCGATCGAGCTTTGAATAACAATGTGAGCTTAAAAGCAAATTAAACATACGTACAGGACCTCTACATGAGCGATACATCTAGATATATAAGTACTAAGCATTATCTAGAAATCTAATTCTTCATTATAATCATTAATCCATTAAGAAATTTCTTCTATCTTCTAGTGACAAATGCTGCAAATGAAATGCTTTTATGATATAATGTATCGCTCACCAATAAATGCTATTTATTTAATGTAATATACGGACCATTGAACACTGTGTTTCTATGGCTATATAAATGCCCATGTCACCACACTCTAGTTTATAAGCGAATATAATAAGTTACCAAAGCAATTTCGGATAAGTAACTCTAAGGTTTAATATAAAACTCGATATATTTTTTTACGATGTGATGAAACCTTAATATTGTGTATGAATGTGTTTAAGCACACGTGTCACACATGTTTCGCCATATTTTCGCTTTAAGATCATCTTTTGTATTTAATATACTTAACTCTATTGAGATTAAAATTATATAATATAGAAATTACCAAAGCTCTTATGATTATATAACACGTATGGCTTTAAAACTAAATTGTCAAAACAATATTAATATTGTAACGCCATAATAATGTATGCGGACTTCCAATGCAATGGAGATTAAATATATTTTTTACGAAATTTTATTTGTCTTTTATAAATCCGTGACGGTACCCTCGACTGTGATTCCTGGCGCTAGCTCCACCTTCTCGTTTTCCAGTTTATTGTCGTCGGATTTGATCAGATCGGTTTGTGAATCTCTCTTTTTCAAAGCAGCTATAATGAGATCCTTTGAATTTTTGCGAATGAACTCTTTACTTGGAGACCTCTGTGGAGGTGGAGTTACTCTACTCGGCGGAGGAGTCTCTGCTGCCATTCTGCAAGGTGGCGGTGTTGGGGCAGTTCGCTTAGTGGAAGGAGTAGGAGGTTTACCAGGTGGAGGAGTCGGTGCCTGCATTTTCGGAGCTGCTGGTGGTTTCGCCTTACTCGGTGAAATGATATGCTTAGTCACCACCTGCTTCTCTTCCAAATCATTACCCAACTCGTTGGACCTTTTCATGGAGGCCCTATTCCGTGGAGTTTTCTTCAGCATAGCCTGGAAATTGAATGGAGGATCATCCTCGTTCATGTCGCTGGTGGACTTAGCCATTGCTTGCAGTTCCATTATGGGAT